GTATGGGAAAGCTTTTATAGCTGACATGTAACATTTAATACATGTTGTTGTGAAATTACTGAAAAGGAGAGATGTTTTAAGGACAATAAAAACAGAAACAAATCACACATGTAGCTGAAAGTCAAAGACTTTTGTCTTGGCAGATAATTGCGATTGCAACATCTTCCACGGCCTTAAAATTTCGTCCATTAAATTCAAAAGAAAAGAGCATTAAAGAAATTATGTTCCGTTTTATCTGTCATCCCATATCCGGGCCCATTTAAGAATGCGATAATACCGTGACACCTTTTTTTAAAGTTTCCATAATTTTGTTGTTTACAAACAAGACATATCTCTCGTGACGCTAACATTCAAAAATAACTGTATAATTATGATAACTTTCTTGTTTAATTTTTATATTTCTTATTCACAATTTTTTCCTAAAATTTCCCGCCAAAAACTAATTTTTCAGGTTAACCACTCGAATGTTGTTTCTTTTTGTCCTTATCAGTATCAAGTTAATATTTACTTCACTTCCAATTCATCAGGATCTTTTAAATGTTTTTCATGTTACAAGTTCTTTTATAGAAACGTGCAGCTTTTTTTCAAAACTAAGCCACACCGACTTTAGACAAAAATATGTTTACATAGAAAAGTACTTTAAAATGTAATCTGAGATAACTCTGTCTACAAAAAATATTCTTTAAACATCTGATTATACTATAAAGTCCCAGACATTCACATTTCTGATTCTATATACAATGCATTTATGTAGTTATATGAAGATATGTTTTATCTTATATCAGCATATTTATCAGGATATATAATTATATAATCGTGTTAATAATAAGAAGTAAACTATTTCAGACTCCCGTAAAACGCAAAAATTCATCATTTTATTGTTATAGAGTATAAATATATTTGAGTCGCGCCATGACAAAACCAACATAATGGGTTTGCGACCAGCATGGATCCAGACTAGCCTGCGCATTCGCGCAGTCTGATCAGGATCCATGCTGTTCGCTTACAGACCCAATAACAAGTAAAGAAACTGATAGCGAACAGCATGGATCCTGATCAGACTGCGCGGATCCATGCTGGTCGCAAACCCATTATGTTGGTTTTGTCGTGACACGGCTCATTTTGTTTTCCTCGTATCCTATCTCAAGTAAGAACACACGTAAACTCCATGCTGTTTAGGAATTTGGTTCAGTATGGTTTTAAACTAAAAATGTTGTGCTTAAGATTATTCACTCACGCCTCGCGAACAGACGTTTCGTATATAAATGCATTAGAAAACAATTATGAATTAAAATTAAGCTGTATTTATACATTATGCTTCAGAAATAACTTTGTTTTCATTTTCCAAAAGCTTTTTACTTTTGGTGTCCTGTAATAGTTTCCAAAATGTTACTGATTGGATAATTATCTGAACTATCATTTGATAGGGTTTTTTTTGGCAATATGTTAAAATATAGCTTGGGCTTTTAGAAATTTCAAACACCTCGTAGTGTCCCGCAATGGATGAACACTGGTATATGTCCGTCACTCTCCCACACACCTAAGACTTCGAAAAGGACATATCAATGGCTATCAAGCGCTAAAAGAAAGCCGTCGCATTGACCAGGGTGGGTTGGGTGCAGGCCAGGGGTAACAACTCACTGCTGCGTGTTAACTGAAAGATTTGTAATCTCGAAAGATAAAGACGTCATAAAATAGTTTTGCTTCGTAACATGTATATAAATTCTAAACATTTGTTGAAATTTGTGTTATCTTTTAGGACTACAGCTAGATCTCAATCTAGCACGAAGGCCGGACATAGTTTTCCAAGACCGGAAGCAAAATTGGACGAATCGCAAACGCCAAAGTCATCAACAGACGGCAATGCCAAACAGACCAAACGTAACTTAAATTAATATTTGTATAAAAGTCCTTTAAACTATTTAATAAACAAAATATTGGTTCAAGTCTTAAGGAAGTATTGAAGTTTGTATGTCTATTGTTGCAGAATTATATTAAATCTGGTTTAAAAACTCCTTACGTAATTGTTTAATTAATTAATAAATAATTTGTTTAATTCATTCATTCATCGATGAATGAATGAATGAATGAATGAATGAATGAATGAATGAATGAATAAATGAATGAATGAATGAATTGCAAAAAAAAACGTATCTGAAATATCAAGAAGTAAGATATATTAATTAATTTATTAATTTATTAATAATCAATGAAATTTAGAACTGTTGTATAAAGTGCTGAACATATAATATTATTTTAATAAATTGTGACCTTATTTCTTTCTATTAAGGTGGTGCATCTAAGTCACCGACTCGGCCACAGATAACGCCACGTCTAGAGGACACATCACGACGAGTTGTCCTACATCGTGAATATGATAGACTCACAAACTACGCCAATGAAATATTAGTAAGTTACAATAAGCTTCCACGTCACTTTTATACAATGCAATTGGACGCCATGTTATTTGATTGGCCGGATGTTTTCATTCAGTTTCTTGCGCATGCGTATTCTTTTTTATGTTCTAAATTACTATGCCTGGGGTAAAACACGTTTTACGCTTGCTGCGTAAACTGGCTGCGAAGGAAGCTGTGCAAAGCATACCTTTAGAATACTACCTGCAGTTGTTGAAATTAAAGGGGAAGCGTTACGGCACGAAAATTCCATTTCTTACGTACTAGTAGTATTCGTTTTATACTGTGACCGGAGACGGGTACGCTTCAGTCAATGTCGTAATGTGTCAGGAATATAGACAGTGTTGCTCTTAATGGTTTATCATAATACCTTGAACGTTAATAATTAAATCCCGATTAAACGGTATGGAAAATTTCATTAAGCAAATTACCAACGAAAAAACATCAAATTTGAGCATAAACATAGTATACGAGTATAAGACATTAAAGGCATCTGACCCGTTACCAAATCTAACAAAAAAATTAAACAACACGTTATTTTATAAAAGGCGGCTATGTAAATTTTTTAAAACCTGCACTTTGTCCGCACAACACTATTCAATTCATCTCAAAAGAAAAATACAAAACTTTAAGAGATGAATTTCTTTGCGCATGATTTAATTTTAGCCTGGTTCCACGGTATCATAAGATTTTTTTATGTATGTAGTTGTTTTTTTTATTGACGACTTGCAAAATAAATCGTGTCATTCTGTAGTAAATCAAAATCATAAAAGACTCGGCTGCTTCGCAGACGAATGAAACAACTTGTCAGCTAGATAAAAACTACTTTAGTAAGCACTGAACATATCCTTACTGGTAATGAAAGTCTGATATCAGTGTTCATTATAAAATAAATGTCGCCCAAAAAATCCAAAATATGAAAATAGAAATAGATAGAAATATTACTTGCTGAGGTGTGTTAATTATATATATCTTACAAAATGTCGGTAAAAGTTAATTGAACACGTTTGGTGACAATTTAATTTGTTTCTTCCATTAATCTTAAACAGCCATTACATTTCTTACCCACATTAATCTATTTTCAACCTGATTGATTAGATGAAATTATTTTCATACAGCACAAAGCAATTTATTATAAGATAATTATACTCAAAACCTGATATCTATTCATCATTTATCGCAATAAAATTAAATAAAAAATATAGAGAAATATATCTGTTTCTTTTTTTTTCATTTCATATATGAAGTAGATAAATAATACGCAGAGAACCGCCTCGACATTTCTCTACCGAAGTCTCTAATTAGAGATGAAAAATTGAAAAATGAACCGAGCTCAGCTTGTCTTACGATAATCAGCAATTCTTTATTCTTTCAGACAGACATAATTAGTCTATCCTCAGGTTTCCTTTGTAATATATATAGATTGATTCTTTACAGCACAAATAAGCACGCGCCATTCTCACTAAGGTGGCGTATAGTGACCATTTCGTACGCACGCACTTTGGCCCTATTCTACGTATTGTGTAGAACGTGACGTCAATAAGTTTTGTCGCACGCGTGATGATGCGCAAGAAAACCGTAATACGTGTATTAAAATATTGAATTTGAATTCAGTTATTATGTTATTTATTTTTTTCACTTAAAGCTACTCTCCCACACAAATTGGGTCTAAAATATCAACATATTTGTTATGTTGCATATACAAAGAAGTAAAATTTGCAGTTTCCACGAGATAACCGTTGATATTATTTCGCTATAAACACCCCTGTTACAACACCCGGTAACATGTATTGAGCTGGTCAGCTTAATGCAGGTAAAACTTATTAATATATATGCTATATGAATGTCAGTTTTGAACCGATTACCGAGATATGAGCCGCGCCATGACAAAATCAACGCTGTCTGATCAGGATCAATGCTGTTCGCTTACAGACCCTATAACAAGTAAAGAAACTGATAGCGAACAGCATGGATCCTGATCAGACTGCGCGGATGCGCAGGCTGGTCTGGATCCATGCTGGTCGCAAACGCGTTACGTTGGTTTTGTCATGGCGCGGCTCATATGTTTAAATCTCTTTTTATAGACGTAATATTCTAGCAATTGTTTGCAGGATATAAAAAAACTTAACCAACGTATCTACCTGCAACCAGTTAACGGGTGTGTTTATAATTTAAGTCAATATTTAAAAAATAAAACGTTGCAACGGTTTAAAACTACAGGATGATAAACATTGCAAAAACATTACTTTAGATATTTTTTGTCGCACAAATCATGTATGAATCATCTAGATTTTAAATACAAATGCACGAGTCTGTGTTGAAATTTTATATTGTCATGACATTTTATTACAAAAACGCCAACACTACAATATGTGGGATAGTAGCTTCAATTCAAACATCTTATTTATAGTCATTAATACGTCATAATATTGGTGGCTTATGTGACACTATGATGTATGTATGTATACAGTGACGTATAACACTCTATAATTATAATAAAATCATTTCTTGATTATTACAGCACAGAATACCGCTTGAAGAAGTGCAAGTGATCCATCGATATCGACCATCGTATCGCGATACAGAACCAAAATACCAAGGCTTTAGTCGACACGTAGGTTCGATCCTGAAGTCCAAAGATTTTGCCGACTACTATAAAGCTGAAGGTAAGAATAAACGAAATATTCCGGATGGATCATGAAGTTCAAAGATAACGAATCCTAATGTAAATTCTAAATTTAGAATAATTTGGTTTGCTTCTGACTTTTTCATGATAACTATATTGGAAACCTTTGGTGCACGCAATTCTGCGTTTTTGGAGCATGATATGTTAAAAACGAAGTGGTAAATATTTTGTCTACAACATAAATATGTAAATAAATATTATTATGACATAAGCAGTGAATTTGATCTTTACAAGCAATGTTGCATGCTACCTTAAGCAAGTTTGGTATTTTTCATTTCCTATGTGATTTCCTTGTTTGTGGTTTCCAATGAAAAGATATAAGAATATCATTTGCTGAATGCTTCAGACTTTGATGTAATACCATAACAACAACAAGAAAAAATGAAAAACAATTTTGTTTTTGCAGCTTTGGACCATCAATACCATAGCCAGCCACAAAGTTCGAAACCGAAGGTAAGTCGATCCACTGCCTATGTTTTAGACCTTTACATATCATGTGTGTTGCTTATCATATACGTTAGAGTAGACAAAAATGAGTACAATGAGTAGACAAAAGTACTAATCTTAGACAATGTTTAGCCTAGAAAAATTCCATTCTATGTTTATACTAAGTTTATAAATATGGTTTAGGACTAAGGAAGACAATTTTTCACCTTAGAACTTCATTTCTGTATTAAGAATATTTTCTGAAATGTTAGACTGACATCAGGCCGGATCACGTTCAGCGCTTCCGTGTCATCTAGTGGGATCCACTCGAGACAAAGTCAAGTGCCAGAGGATATTCTTTAAATAACCTATTTTTCTATATACGAGTAATTAAATGAATTGAGTAATATTGATGAAATAAAACGCGTATTTTCATTTCCCGTATTTTCACTGTAAAAATTTATTTTCGCTGCAGTAAAACAATTATTTTCCGTATTTTCACTGATGTCTTGCCAGACTGCTTTCTTTTAAATTCAGCCGCCACACACAATTTCAGGGGAAATCTTTAAAAATGTAATGTAAAAAAAAGAGGAAACTGTATATAATTAACAAAAAATCTTGTGGTATCAAAATTATCATATTTCAATCATGGTTAGATCTACTGCCACTCGTGAAATAATTGTTTTCATTCCATTCGATGAAAATATGAAGAAAAAAAATTGAATATCCTCTATATATCACGAAGTCACGCCACATTTAATTAAATATAGAATTTTGGTTCCTGTTTCTGTACAGCACAGTAGAACGCAGAACGAATAATAGCAAGACATTTATGACGTCATGTATAAATAAACGTCATATAGCGTCAGTTTTGGTAGTGTCTGAGCCAAAATTATAGAATACGACGTCATAAATTAGTTTACTTCTAGAGAGTATGGACTATATCTCACATTGTCTAGAGAATTGCTTCATATTATCACGCTATTGTTCTTAAAAATACTTGAAAATCCTTGAAAATTCTTATTTCTATGCTATAGTAAGATACGTCCTATAATCTTGAGAAAAAAAAGAAGAAATATCGACTGTCTATCGTTAGATCGGACTTAGCCCTAGAAATATATTCTGTTCGATCTGGTCTTTTATTTTTATGTAAGTCACCTTTAATCCGCATTAATCCATATGTAGTTACATACGGACGCGTAATAGAAAATCCGTTTCTTTCTTTTATTTATTTTAGTTGATATGTGAAAAGGCTTTAAATAGTAACTTATTGAGTCTGACAATTACATGTCCGATACAAATCTCTCTAAACGCTTTCAATTTTGCTAAAAATAGAAGTAATCAATTTCGGAAACAAAGTGCACGAGTTATTTTAGACTTTTTATATTCATTGACAAACAAGTTAAGTCTGGAAATTTGTCCGCCTACAAGGGTAGCATTTCCTTGGGGAAATAATACAAAGTAATACATTTGTATGTTTCCAAAAGTCGACTCGCCGTGATAGAAAATGACAGAATTTTTGTTTGTTTGTTCATAGTCTATTACACGACACGCTTTTCTATATGCGTACAGCGAACTCTTGTGTTTTTTTTTATCTTCTAATGACATATGATGGAATAATCTTATTTGCGCGTGATGTATTTTGTAATAAAAGATAAGAAATTTACGCGTCTGCACCATTACCATTTAACACAGATAACGTTGGATCTCGTGAAAGAACGTAAATAATACAATCTCATAAAGTGACTACATTAAAAATGCATTACCGGCCGGACGAAAATCTGTAAACGGCTTACGTATGAGAATAGAAAGTTATGAAAATGCCTTGATTCACGTCGAAGATGGGAGTGGAGCGCCAATCTACTGTGATTTATGTTAGAGACTGAGTGACTCAAGATGAATGATCGAGTGTACAAGAATTGTTTTCCATATTGGGCTCCATTAACACTGTATCCGAGACACAATTATTATTTCATTAATATAAATAAAATAACATGTACTCATTACTGATTTTGAATGTCAAACTAACCAATCGCAGGCTTACATATAATTTGTTTTACAAAAATAAAGTAAAAGCCAAACTGTGCAATAAAATTAATGGCGTCGGCTTCCTACGTATGCTCTATGTTTCACAATTGACGTGCTTTACATATGTACATCAGCATAGTTTTTGTATATACAGAAACGCGTAGTTCCCATTTATAATAAAAGTGATCATCATTTAAATCATTAGTGTGAATTTGTTGATTTTGCTTGTTTGTTTTGCCGTTTTATTGCTTTTTTTGCTGTAAAGAAAAACAACAACAACACGCATTTTGTGTGTTTTTTGTTTTATATCAGAGTACATCATACTTACGCACCTGTATTTATATTTGACTAACATTAACCTATATATTGTCACCCTTTGTAGAAAAATAGATCACCCAATAGGGGTATGAGAATTAAGCACGTGCGAAGTGCTCATGACGTCACCCATTCCAGGCACACCATGCTAAGTAGCCTCATAGATACTTCCCCAGGGTGAGTCGGAAACCCCCTACCCCCCAAAATTCCTCATTCTAAATTTACATAATCATAACCATATTTTTTTACATTACTAGGCATGGAATATAACTGTACATTTATTAATCACTAGTTTGTCTTGTTATTTTTCAGCACGTATATTTCATACCATAATTATATAAAATAACATTTTCCTTTGCAATGCACGTAACTAAGACAAAGCAATGCCTCCAGATTTATGTTTCGTGCAGGACATAACACAAAATTTCTACCAAATATCAATAATGATTATATTTATGTAATATTCATGAATAATGATAATATTATAAAAAGAAAAAATCCTATGCCTTATTATTTTTTTTCTTCATATAAAGTTACAGTATAGAATAACTCCGAGTTTATTAACATGGTAATCTGGAGGCATGTACCATTTTAAATCTGAATGAAACAAGTGTGATTACTCTACGATATGAATACAGTACAAATGTGGTCTGTATTTTTCTTAGAAAATGGAATAGAATTCACACACTAGCCATAACTGCTGTATTTTCTAGCAGTTTATGATTTTAAGACAGCTAGGGAAATAAATTTATGACCACAGTTCCAGATCCAGTACCAGTTCCATCTATGTACCATTGTGGTAACTATGCGGAACTTTAACCTTTTAATATTATGTGTCATAATTTCTTTGCAATTGTATGAAATAGTTGTCGCTTATATCATAAAAAGACAATATATGTATTATAATCTGTTTCTGTTACCATGACAACTTCGCAAACAGCAACAAAAATAATTGTCATATTCACAACCCCCAAGTATTACATATATCAAAGGTGAACTTAAAAAAATAGTTTCCCTATTATTTCACCAGTTTAGACAATAATGCCACAAGCGCGATAATTTTGTGATTATTATTCATGATCTTATATCAATACCTTTGAAATTTAACAATTAAATTGGTGTATAAATCAACAAGAGAAGATCATATTTCCTTTTCGGTTTAACAAAGGTATATTTAACAAAAAGAACATATAATACGCTTAGAGGCAGGATATTTCACAGTTCTCGGTCAGGTGCTTTAGAAATTAATCATATGTGTGAAATCAGGAGTGGTGTAGTTGAATACCTAAACATCTAAGTGGCATCTTCGTTTGAATACGAAGAAGATATGAGCCGCGTCACGACAAAACCAACATAGTGCGTTTGCGACCAGCATGGATCAAGACCAGCCTGCGCATCCGCGCAGTCTGATCAGGATCCATGCTGTTCGCTTACAAACCCTATAACAAGTAGAGAAACTGATAGCGAACAGCATGGATTCTGATCAGACTGCGCGGATGCGCAGGCTGTTCTGGATCCATGCTGATCGCAAACCCATTATGTTGGTTTTGTCGTGACGCGGCTCATATAATAAAAAAGAAGAAAATAATGTGCATTATTCGGGAGAAATCATATTAATCACCAGGCAATTTCTGATTGATTCCATTCCATTTTTGTTCAGCCTGGATTGTTAGTGAAAAGCATATTTTTAACATTTACAATATCTTACATGAGTTCTCATTTCATATATATGTAGATTTAGATTGAGTCTAAGTCACCGTTTGGAGGACTATTTTTGTGCGAAATATAAAGAAAATAAAAATGATAGTAATGCAGAAACCAGAGGTTTTTATTATGTTTTTACAGCAACTTTTTTTTGGCCACAACGATTTTGGTTTGCCACTCTCAATATTATTACATCAGATTCTGCGGTATATATTAAAGTGTTTCTTTTATTTGCACAGACACCGTCTCAAGTTAGTTCGTCGTTCTTATAAAAGGAAATATAATTTTGAGCGTAATAATAATTATATTGTCTACATTCATATTATATCCTCAGCATTATTGGATTATTATATTAAATATTAGAAATATTATTGCCCAATTATCTTTTGTTGAAATTAATTCGTATAGGGCATATTTGTTATTTTCAATAACATAACAACACACCACGTTACCTTGCATAATATTATCTAATTTGTTTATATTTTATTTGTATTTCTATTCCAGGGATAAAGATATTATTTTCTTGAATTTATTAACTATGTATTCTATTTATACGTGCTTCTATTACAAGGCCTTTATATATATTGTCCCTGATTGCGTACTTACCTTACAATATCACGTTGCATGCTGTTTTTTTAATTATTTTACTCTCTGTATACATGTAGTTCTTGATTAATTCTGAGATTAACACGTATGTGTTCTTCTATGCATAAGTAATTCGATAGTTTACAAAAAGTATTCAGTTACACGAATGTTCAAAGCAAACCTATCCTATTTGTACAAACATGTTGTTTGTTACTGTTATTTTAATAAATTGTTATGAAATATGTTTATTCTGATGGGCGTATGTGTACAGATTAAATTATGGAAGCGAAAATGTGACTGATTTGTTTTGCTAGTCTAAGAATACTTATTTATATGTGCTATCAGTTCAGTTTACCTTTTTTCTGTCAGTATATTGCGGATACCAAAACTATGGGAGCAGCAAGGAGACGCCACATACAAAAAACATATATTCCAGATATTATAATTTAATCAAAGTAGACTTTGTGCAAATTATCATTCCTTTGAACTTCTATATTATGGGAACGTTTAAAAAAAACTCCTTTGAAAAAAAAATCATTGCGGAGATTATACTAAATTAAATTTAGCTTATTTCGTATACATTTTTTACATAAGTTGATATTATTAATATGTAACCTTGGTGAAGGTGATCGGATTATTTGAAGGGCGTATCCAACTTAAAATAGCATATAAATCATAAACCTTTATTTCCTAATTAATATCATTTGACGATATCCAAATCTCTTTGAATAGTTTGACGCCATATTATGTAGTCATTTATTCCAGTTTATTCCCGTTTATTTCCCTTTTATTACTTTAATGACGTTCTAGAAAGAGTTTCTCGGGAATAACATGCGGAAGGGTTTTACTATTAAACGATTCGAAAGCTCTGTATTGTCTAAGGTTTTACATTTTCAAAGATTAATTCATAAAACTCTAAAAAAAAAACAAAAAAAAAACAAAAAAAACAACAACAACTACAAAATCAACAACAATAAAACAATATTTTAAGCTAACATTTGATGGGGAGTATCGTAAAGACACATTGAAAATACTTTTCATTTAAAGATCCAATTTTTTCCAATCACTAATGGCACAACACACACGTGTAAAAGTATTTAATTAACGCCATTTTCTTAATTTTATGTAAACTATATTTCGCCTTATACATAATGACGAAAAAAAAAAAATCCTGTTCATGTTAAACGTTATTCGACATAAAACATATTTCATCACATTGATGGCATTTCAGAGAAAATTTCATGGGATTAAACCATCAAATCATCCGCAGATTTCATTGCACGGCATTGTCTAATGACTTCAAAGAGAAACCTTTAATTTTCGGAATTGAATTTAAAACCAACTTAAAAAAACGCAAGGACACTGCTTCGTATTAAAGTATCTGAGACAGTCATACCTATTAAAGGCACATAATGTCTCACGAACGAATAAATTTATTACTTCTTTAAAATAGGCAAACATGAATTTCATAACGTTTAAATAATTGTTGTAATGTAATGCTAGATGCTTGTTACCTGAAGAAAGTTGCGCTTAATTGGTATTACTTGTATTCGTCATAAAAGTAGCACAATTTTAACAAAGTAGTATCTTCAATTCCATACAAAATAATAAATAACTATAACTGTAATTTTTGCCAAGACATCAGAAGAACAATGAGTAATTTTTCCCATGAAATTACACCAAAAATAAAACGCTTTTGAGAAATGAAGATAAAAGCAATTCTTAAGGCATTATGGGCCTTTAAAATTAATTACAATTATTGAACAGTTTTATTGTTGTTTCCACAATTAACGCAATTAAAGAAACGTTAAATACCTTTTGAGAATGTTAAAGGTTAGTTGTATTAAATGTAAATCTTAACTACCATTAATCATAAAGCTAGAATAGATTTTCTTTTAAAATTTCTTCATTTGTTTTTCGCCAAAGCTAAACTTCTACTCTAGTCCTTAAAGACAGAACTCCCCTAAGAAAACAACAACAACAACAACAACAACAAACTTTTGAATGAAATCAACAAACACATAATAATACTGATACTCGCGTCTAAACTGCCTACGTTTGATACGGATAAGTTGTTTTAGTTGTTTTTTTAGGTTCTATAAAATTGCGCACGCTTTGTTACAATGTTTACGTTATGATGAATACAGAAGTCCTAATAAAATATAGATATTTTAACACAGTGTTGGTTAAAAAGAACTGTGAAATCATTAGTTTATAAGAACATACTTTAACCAAACACTGATAATTCATCAGTGTAGCTTTAAACCGTCTATATCCATCTGTTATTAAAGGACAACATCTCTCGGGATTTTACTGAGAAGAAATCTCAGATTGTAAGGAAAACATTAGACTTTCCTTCTCTATACACATATTTTCGATCATTAAGAGACATGGGCGGTTAAATTATAGACTGGTTTATAGTATGATTAATTTTCAACGTTGCATGTTATTCCTTAATTACATTTGGGATCTAAGGTCAACAGATTCGTTTTTCATGAACATGTTGTCGCGTGTATATTCTTATTACGTAGTTACCGTTATAGTTAACTTTCATAATAATTGTATTCCTCTGTTAAAGCTTATACCACGGTTCAATAAAAAAAGTCTTTTTACCAAAAGAACTTTTACTTAAATTCAACATTTCCATGAACCCAAAAGCCTATTTAAAACATCGCAAGGTTATTCTACACTTGGAGAAACATATAAGGGTACCCACACTATAAAACATATCTTTTGATTGATTCGAAGCGGTGGTTGAATTAATTGTTTAAAGTTGTATGCCTCAAGATGAGCCATTTTTTTTTCAAAAATCAAACTTTAGAAAAGTGTACTAAGATTGTAAGAAAAGTACACAGATTCAAGACATATACGACATACTATGTGCGATTAATGACTGCTATTAATTCAATCTATTAAATAGAGGATATTTGTTTAGTTCAGTGTAAGATCGGAATATATTTCACCGAGTAGGCACCAAAAGGTATATTTCACGAGTGGCGCAGCCACGAGTGAAATATGAACTTTTGGTGTTCACAAGGTGAAATATATTTCAATCTTACACTAAACTAAACAAATTTTCTTTTTATTACATGCAAAGAAACGTTTTAAAAAGACAATAAATCTAATAATTAATGAAAAGCGCGCCAAATAATAATGCAACGTGACGTCATTTACGACGTCGCGTCATTAAGTTGGTACCCAGTACTGTGCACGCTGCTATTTCACTGAAACAACGTAAGGGGCTTAAATTCAAAACAGTGAAATTATCAAAGTGGTAATTTCACTGTTTCAAACAGTGAAATTATCCGTTTTATATCACTGATATATTTCTATAAACCACCGAAAAGCATGTAATAAAGTATTTATAACCATATTTCTATTGGGTGACTAACGCAATAATGGCTATTTCTGCATATTTTGACATCAATTTGGTAATAAACGTGGCTGCAATGAGTAAATTACTTTCTTTGTTCACAGTTAACAATATTTTACTTTTAAAAACATTTTTAATTTTTTTACAAAAATTAGCATGAAACGTATGCTGCTGTAAATACTAACTACACAAATTTATTGAATAATAAAACTCTCTTAATTTTGTAAAGCTTCGAGGTGCAGTTGAGCAATACGAAATTACAGAAATGACATAAACCGTGTCTTCAAAGTGGCCATTTATTTGACAGCTAATATAAAGACCGAGTTAGTATCATGTATGAGAATGGCACAGACTTCATCAACCACACACACAATTTCGAAAATAACTTAGTCAGGGATACTATTGCACTTCCTAAATATTTGAGCTCTTAAGCCTTGTAGGTGGACAGGGAAATATTATACTATTATAGTCTTCCTCTTTGTCTGGGTTGTCGGGAAGGTCTACAACTTTTTCCTCTTTTATTTATCGTTTATTTATGAGTTTTTGTGCACGTCCATCTTTCAAGCAACATATATAATGTTATGAAATCAGGACTAGTATTTGATTAGTCTGCCTTAGAATGTTCACTAACTAATGAAAATCCTGAGATTTGAAACAAAACTCAGACAAAAGTTTTACAATCGCAAGGCTTTGTGAACACTAATCCGGTATTATAGAAAAGTAATATTATAAGTGTTGTGTACGGAAACTTTTTTACAGTTAGATAACAATGAACTTGGAACAGAATTATGATTTCTTTAGAATGCTTGTTTAAGAAATTTCATTGATTATTCTCACTTGCGCATTTGAAAAAAGACAACAAAAACAAACAAAACAAAACAAAACAAAAAAACACAAAAGCATAAATAATTGTCGAGGAGAATAATAATAATAAAATAATAATAACACCTTGTTTTAAAATTGGGATGTTTTAGTTAAAAGTTAACTATAAAATACATTAAAAGAGCACACAGCTCACTCCGGGATACTTCCGCCTAAATAAGCCCGACAGCAATATCACAATGCAAAATACACAATCTTGTATTTTGTCTACATGCACATATGTTAAAACTATTTATGTCTGCACGTGCTTTCTAATTAACGAATTTATATCTGCCACTTAAGCACACGTTTTTTTAATAATATTTTCAAAGCAGCTAAAGCGTTAATTTTAAAAAAAATGTTGAAAAAAAGACAGATCAACTGAAACAAAATAATATCTGTGTTTAATACTAGCACACTTATTAGTTTCTCCAAGTACATTAATTGCATTAATTGTATTAATTATTAAGTGTATTTATTGCAATAAAAACATTTTTTTACAGAGAATGTATACACAATTTAATCAGCGATGTATTTTCCTTTAGGCATTATTCACTTGTTCTTTCGTGTAAATTAAGAAATAAACTAGATTACTTACAGCCACTCGAGTGTATTTCCGTTCTCCCCCTAAACAATATCAGAGCTTGTGTAGTTTGTGTGACCAAGATGTACCGTAATTCTAACACAACAAATGATGATTCTGATCACTAGCAGTGGTATATCAATCTCTAAATTCCCGATACATTTAGTGACAGTGAACGCAATTAAACAAGGCAGAAAGCTGATACAGTATTGGAAAGAAACACTCCTATTTCTAACATTAGTTTTGCTTTTCAGGAAGACTGTCTCGATAATATCTCACGGCTCTAGCTGCGTGGGCTATTACTCAATGTAATGCCGTTAATTTAAAGCCGATAAATTTTTATTATCCTTAAATAACACTTAGCGTTTCCGCTTGATAGGCATGTAAACAAATGATTGATGTATGATTATACACTCATAGAACGAACAGCGACCATTCGTTTTCGTTTCTATTTTTCAGTTTCAACACTTGTATAATTAATATTTTTCAATTTTATCTGAGTTACAGCGAAAACCAAAATCATATAATATTTGAAGATAGACAATAGTAAATCGCCTTTCTTAATAGGATATATGCTTGGCACATACCCTTGTCTAATGTAGGTGGATGTTTAAATGTTGCAACATAAAACTCATTTGTTTTACAGGATGAGACAGATGCATCCGTCAGCGGCGACGACGGAAAAAGAAATGATGAATCACCCGGAGATACTGTCCACTGATTCCCTCACACCGACATACACCACTTCACAGCATAACATTGATGCATCAACTTTTCCTCATAGCCATGACCCATACAGACCAGTAGACATTGATCGACCGCCTTCGCCACAAACTTCTCCAAGTAAATCAATGTCTATATCATCCATACAATCATCTGTCAAAGTGTTCTTTAACAACGATGGCCTTCAATGGAATGATAGAAAACCAAATGTCTCCTCTATGGAACATAAACGGCAACAAAACAAATATCAGGACAAGGACAAATCATCGCGACGCCAGATAGAGTCAGACTGTGATTCCACTGTTGACAGTGCGCAAAGTGTCGATGACAGACATACACCTGATTACATTGAACGTTTTACTGATGGCGATACAGCTATTAAATTAGACAGAGCAAATAGTAACATAGAAATACAAAAAGAAGAGTCGATAGAAAATAATGACCAAAAGTATAAAATCAAACAAATTGTTGTTGTCTCTTTAGACGAAAAGGAAAAAAGTAAAACAGTTGAAAAGGTAACTAACACCGAAAGGGTTATTGAAGTTTCAGAATCAGTAGAGTCACTTAAGCACACGGAAATAACAATATCAACGGACAAAGCTGTCGATAGCGATAATGATAGCTCAGAAAGAACAATAACGCCGTCACTCGATGCTCATTTGGACGATCCTTGCATTACAGATGAACAAAAAACCAAAGAAAAGGAAGAGCATAGGAAGGTTTCAAAATTGAAATCAGAGGAACATGTATTTACACATCACAGGACTAAAACAGACAGCAAACATTTGCCGCAAGGGAAGGAAAAAAGACGACAGTCAAAGTCGAGTCCAAGAATTCCTGGAAAATCATCACCCCGTGATATTAAAGAGGAAAAAAAGAATTCTCCTAGAACTCGGAAGGAAACTGCTCAAAATACGCTTTCAAAGAAAATAAAACAAAGATCCCCGAGAGGTGGGGATAAGGATGATAAACTTTACTACATTGTTGGCACTACTGACAATAAAGGTCATTGGGTAACTAAGCAAGATGTAGAGAAGAGTAAATCCGAACCTGAACCTGACAAAATTAGCTTGCGTGATATTCATCCGAAAGAGTGTGATTCAGAAATAGGGTCTGATGTTCCCAAACAACGTAAAGAAGCAGACAAGAGAAACGTACTTGATTCGAGAGAATCACATCCGTTTTCCATACCAACTGAAGCAATGGATGTTGAAAATAAGACAGAATTATCAGAATCCGAAAAACGCAGGGACATTGATGCTAATTTGATTGGAAAACATGTAGTTTTTGACGAACAAAAAGAAGAATCAGAAAAAGATGAAGACAATTACGAAGATGACTTTGAAGATGACCATTTTGAAGAGACAATAGAAAATTCAGACAACATTTTACATGAAGAACCACCATTAGAAGTATCTGAAAATATTAAAATAACTGAAGATGAACGGGTTAGTGAAGAGATGGCGACTGCAAATCAAAGTAAAATAGAACAGAATCTATATCATGAGCAACATAGCACTGATACTACTGTTCTTAATCCTGAAACACAAAACAAAGCAGGCGATGTCAACAGGAAAGCCGAAATTGTTAAGGTAAACGCAGAAAAAATTGAGATACACCATAACGTTCAAGAGTCAGAATTTAGGATCGAGGACACTTCCTCAAGTCAGGATAAACAGTCTGGTATTGGGACACTTGTTATTTCAAACTCAACAATAAAAACGCTTGTCATAGCAAATAAGAGTCAACTTGATCAAGAAACATTAAATAAACTAGCAAGTGATTTCAATAGTGAACAAAGAAATCAACCGGACACTACCTTGGATGAAAAGCTGAATATCGAGAGACAAGTGACAATAATTGAAAATGAGAATCCAGAAGAAAGTTTGATCAGTAATGAAAAAGCTAAAGATATAGTAAATCATTCCTCTCCGGTGGCAATCAAAGATACAGCTGTCAACATAGACGAGGGAGGCACCAGAGACAAGATCAGTTCTACTTCTCCATCTGAACAAACTCAGCATGTTTTGCCAGAGCCAGAAATGACATCAACTCAATCTCAGACAATCTCCACATCAAGTTCGCAAACAATTAATAACATGGAAACACAAACAGTATGTAATATTAAAACGCAGACTGATTCAAATCAACAGACACAAACTGTAAATGTTATAGCTGTACAAACAGAAAAAGCTGCATCTCGTGCCTCACCTGTTCATACTGTGTCAAAGGAAACTTCAGTTGGGCTTAAAGCAGATGTACCTGAAGAATTATACAGAACAGACGATCAGTCAAACAACTTGCAATTATGGGAAAACCCGCAAAACTATGAAATGTCTGAAAATTCTGAGATAGGACACATAAAGGCATCAACTAAAGGAGTAAGTTATAAAGAAAGCCACAAAATTGAATCAACATTAGAATTAGTGGATGACCATCTAGATAAGCTTTCAGAAAATCACAGAGATCATATAGATGAGGACAAAGATGTCGCAACCATTGAAAGACGCGACAAAGATATTGCAAGTGTCGCTACAACAATATTAGGAGAAAAAATTATTCAAAAGCCGGATGAAAAAAGTGTGAGTCGCAATGAGTTGCAAGAAACAGAAAAAATAATGGCCACTGATAGCAATATCGAAATACCAGATGAGAAATCAATAGATACTCCTGTTTACACAGAATCAGGTAAGGAATTTTCTGAACAAAAATCTATGACTGAGGATACCAATAATGAAATGTATAAGATAACAGTTATTTCAGAAAACGATAAAATGAAACCTGAAAATGAGAAAGAAACCGACGAAGATACGAGCATGAAACATTCTCTGACAGAAAAACCTAACAATAAAAGTATTGTTAACGAAAATGAAAATCAAGTAAACACTGAAATTGTGGAAATAAAACAAAATGACAAACAAGAAGGAAACAAAGACTCAGATATATATGACGACAAGGTACAATCCTTCACAGCTGTTACAATATCAAAGAGTGATTCAGAGGAACTTGAAAAATCCAGAGACCATCTTTCAGAAGACGACGTTGTGAAGGAAAAACAAAATATTGAACAACAGAAACACAAAAATGGGGATATAACAGATGATATGAAAGACACTAATTTCTATCAGCAAGAATCAGTAACAGAACAAGTAGTTAGTAATAATAAAAACCTTGAAAGCGTTGATAAAATTGAACAGGAAGCCTTAAGAAAACACGCAGAATTCACATTAAAAGCAGACACGGAAGAAGAAATGCTTAAGGCAGAAAATGAAGAAAGGAATGATGAAGCCATGCACCAGGACACTGCAGAAGAAAGATTAGTTAATGACAAAGAAACCCGGATGCATTTACATAAGGATGCTAGAATAGATGGGGAGAATGATGGGAAAAAGGAAGAAGATATCGAAATAAATGAGACAGCCATTAAAAGCCTCGAAAGTAAAATACCCGAAAGCATAAAAGAAGGAAGTGAAACTGAACAGGAGCAGTCTGGCGTAGCTGATAAAATATCTGATAATGTACTAATCAAGCAATCAGAAGTAGTACCTGACCAATCTGAGGGAAACGATTTTGAAATTTTGGATAAAGCACAGAAAGAATCATTAAACGAATCAGATTTAGAGTACATTTATACTGATCTGTCTCAGCAAATAGTTCAGACTGTTATTGCAGCAGCTGAAAGAGAAATAATTGAACAAATGGAATCGCAACAGCCAAGCAATAAAACCATTTTTGACAGTCAAGCTGAAATACCTAAAGAAGAACATGGTATTAAAGAAGAACAGGTTTTAGATCGAGAAAGTATAGACAAGACTCATCAGACTGAAGGCTTGAAAGAACAATATGTTGAAAAATCCTTTGTTGTTGAACTCAATGATAAAACGCACGATAAAACTGAGAAACAAGATGACTTGACAGAACGATTCAAGGGAGAGGATCATGACATGGAAGGGATAGAAAAACCAACTACCATACCTGAAGATGAAAAACCAAATACGTATGAAAAGGATATCAAAGTTAATTCTGGAAAAGATATAAATACTGATGAAGTCGTGTCAAATGAACAACAACAGGAGTTTTTGGGTCCGTCAGAAACAGAAAATTTGATTTTAACGGAAGAGCAATCAACTGACAAGATACTTGTGTATGAAGATACAAATGAAACATCATATAAAGACTCCGAAGGAATAACAGAAATAGCTAACAAAAGTCAGGAACAGAATAAACAAAATGATTTAATTACTGATAACACAGAGGTTGCTGAATCATCCTTATTTAAAGTTAGTTCAGAAGATGAAACTCTAGTAAATTTTTCTGACGCCAAAGATTTTACACAATCGAAGGAAACTAAACAAACTAAAATACAAAATGAATCAACTGAAGACACCGAGGATAAGAACAAATACATTGCTTTTTCGACGGAAAATGATATAAAATTTCCTAAAACAGAAACAAGCAAATTTATTTCTGTTGCATCAGAAAAAAATCAAGAAGAAATAACAAAAGCAGGAAATGAGGCATTTCAAGAAATACCTGATAAAAAAATTGAAACAGAGGAAACAGGAAAAATGAAAACTGTTCAATTTGATGAAGTCACGCAGGAAATTCTAATTGAATTCAATGCCGGTTTGAATGAAAAGGAACAAGAACTACAGACAAATAATGTAATAAAAAATGATCAGATATCGGTAAACGAAGATGCGTATGAAATACAGCACGAAGAATTCAGAGAAACAGATGACATATCAAACAAGGGTAATGAACTGAATACAGGAAATGATTTAAACATTAATAAGATACCTTCACTTGAATCTTACCATAAAGTAAAAACAGAAGAAAGTACGATTGATCTCTATAACGCAAGGGAGGATGTAATAATAAAACAAATGGATCAAACTGGAGTTCTGGATTCTAATGATGAAAACGAGTCAAAAGATGAAGGGCATGACTCTAGAACGGAAACGAATATGAAAATGCCAAGAATTGGGAATGACAGATTAGTTGAGCCTGCAACAGAAGAAGTAAAAGAAATATTAACGAAATACGAAAGTTATGTTTCAAATGAAATGATTGATGAAGAAACTAAAACAGGTGATACTGACAAAACTGAAACAACTAAAGATGATGTTGTCATGCAAGATTCAAAAAATGATACAAAGATTGTTGTAACTGTCAGGTCAAATGAACAAACACGTCTTGGGGAATTAGAAACAGATATGAGTGTAACTGCCGTTGAAATAGAAAATTTGATTTCAAATGCATCTGAAGAAAAGCAAGCCGGAAAGCATATAATAAATCAAGAAGAGTTAATAAAGACTCATGACTATGAAGAATTACAGGTACAGTATGCGCAGAAATCATTTATAGATGAAGATATAAATGCAAAGAATAAAAGATCAGAGGAAATGTCAGACCTGTCAGAAGACATGAATGAAGAAAATCGTGATATGGAACAGACAGACAAAGCAATCGATATAATTAAAGAGGTAGAGGAACATTCTAATAGATATGAAAAAGTCACACTAGAAAATATTAAAAATGATGACGAGTCAAAGGAGGAAGAACATGAGCTTCCGGATGCTTCAAGAATGGATACTTTGATTTCAACAGAAGATACCACAATTGATCACAAATCTGTATTAGTCGATACTGATAAGACACCGAACACTATATCAATAGAAATAGATGACATGTTAAATCAAAGACAAGAACAGAATGAAGAACACGATTTAAAGATAGAAAACATATGGTCAGTTGAATCATCACCAGAAGTAGCATCAGGAGAAAGATCTTCGGAAGAAGAAACAAAACTTTTGGGGAATGATCAAACGAAAATTTCAAGTGTGTCTAACAAAGATACAGAGTCAAAGGATAAAGAAAATGCATCTGAGACAGAAACAGATATAACATATTTACCACTTGAAACTGAACAACTGATTTCGACTTCAACAGGAACAAAACAAAACAATGATATGATACAAGTAATAGAAAACGAGAAAACTAGAACCAACGAAACTGACCAAACAAAATCTGCTAAAGTTGATGAAGTCAAGCATGATTCGCTGCATAAACTAGAGACAGAAAACATTGTCGGTTATAATAAAAAAGAAACCGAACGTGTAGATGAGTTAGAAACAAATATGAGTAGTTCACATGGTAAAATAGAAAACATCATTACAATCGCATCGGAAGAAAACGATGTTGACGTAAGTAAAGAAGATCAGGGTATTGAAGTAGAAAACATTATACATCAAGAAGATATAACAAAGTTCGATCGGTCTGAAGATTCACAAGGACATTATGCTCAGGAACATTTTGCAGATAAAGATGGTGATATATTACATGAAGAATCACAGGAATTAGCAAACTTGTCACGATCATTGTCTAAAGAAGAACATGATATGAAACTGACAGGAAACAGACGTGACAACGTTGAAGATGAAAATCGAAATAAATACGAAGAGCATTTTGAAAGAAATAAAGAAACTGCAGTTGTCAAGTCAGAGAAACCACAACTCGAGCTTTTTCAAGATGCACTAGAAAAAGAAAATTTGATTTCGACAGAAGAGAAAGCAATTGATCAAATACCTGCATCCGATGATGCTGACAAGACATCACAAAAGCAATCCAGTGCAATAGAAGACATATCAATGCAACGACAAAAACAGAATAAACTTAACGATTTGAACAACGATAACACTGCGTTAGTCATATCATCCATGAAAGAAATTTCAGAAGTAGAGACAATCGAAGATTCCGACGCAAAAGCGTACACTACAAACACGGAAAATACACAGACTGAACTTCAGAGTATGTCTAGGGACAAAAATCAGTCAAGGGATCTGGAACCGTATATTGTAACGGAAACAAATTTGAAAATGTCAACAATTGAATCAGACCAATTGATTTTGACTGCATCACAAGAAATAAAAGAAAACATAACAGAACAAGAAAATGATGTATCACAAGAAATACGCGATAATGAAAAAAAGACAGAGGTAGTTGACGAATTAAGTACAACTAAAGTTGATAAAATTAATCACTCTTTGCAGAAGGAAAAACCGATTGAAAGAAGTGATGAAATAAATGAGAAAGATCACCAACATTCGGAAGAGTTAAAAACAGATATGGGTATAACTGAAGTTGAAATAAAGAATGCCGACATTTGTAACGAAGAACTTGATAATGAAGAAGAAAATAAAATAAATCAAGAAAATTTGAAAAAGGAAACCCTTTCTGAAGAATCAGTAAAATATGCTCAGAAATCCTTTACATGCGATGATGAAACAAACGAGGAATCTCAAAACTCAGCAAACCTGTTAAAATGCTCAAAACAAGAAGACAACGACATCGACATAAAACTGACAGAAAAAGCAATTGACAGAGCTGAAAAGGGTCATTCAAATGAATATAAGGAAGATACTGTAGCAAGAATTGGAGAATTGAAAAATGAAGATACAACAGAAGCCGAGTCTAAGGAGCTTCTAAACAAGCTTTCGGATGCGTCAGGAAAAGAAACGTTTTCAACGGAAGAAAATGCAACTGATCGGGAAATTATATCCTACAATGCCGATCAAACACTACAATTAAATGTGACAGAAGACATGGTTAACCAAATTCCGGAGGGGAATGAACAGAATGATACAAACACAAATACCAAAACATTAGATGAATTATCCGGAAAATTATTTTTAGAAGAAAAAACGATTAAACTTTCGGAAGTCAATGAGGATACTCAATCCAAAGAAAATGACCAAACTATAATGTCGGTGGTATCGACTAAAGAAAATAAGTCAAATGATAAAGACAATGCTACTTCAACCGACGTGATAGTCCCCACACTTGAAACTAAAGTAGACGAAAATGAGAAAATAATTCAAAATTATGACACCAGAGGCACTCCAGAGTCAAACGAGGATACTCGGTTTGAACTTCCCAATGACAAAGAGGATACAACAACTAAAGAAAAAGATTCAAATGAAATGTTAGATGCGTTAAATGAGGAATATGACCCAAAGGATAATATGCATACTTTTCCTATCGAAACTGACTATGTAGAAATTAAAGAAGGCTCAACGCAACAAAATGATAACATACCAAAAGCAATACGCAATGAAGAATTGTATGGAAATGACGAAGAAGAAATTGATTCACAAGAAGAAACTGAAAAATCCAATGAAGAACAAATTAATAATATACAAGGAAACAAACACATGGCATTAACGATTGACGACAAATTAAGTGTCGAGAGAGAATATAAAGTATTGGAGGACTTAGAATCAAAATTGAAAATGTCTGAATGTGAAGAAAAGCAATCGACTCTAACTGTATCTTTAGAAATAAATGAAGATGTTACCAAAGACGATGAAGACATGTCAAAAGACAAGCATGATTCAGAATCGTCTATGACAATCAAAAACGAAAGTTTTACAGAAAAACAAATTGAAGATGCTACATCTCAGCCTGGAGGTATGGAATTTGCAAGTAATGAAATCACGACTGCCATAGCAAATCAAGAGAAGCAGAATGATATCAACGATTTAAAAACAGAAGAAAATACAATGTCGCATGAGTTTCCATTAAAAGAAGTCAACAATGCAATCGAACTTCCTAAGGCAGAGCCTGAAACAAATTCTGAGCTTATCAAGGAAATTAATAAAACTGAAGTACTCGACACACCAGACAAATTACTTTCATTAGTTTCTCAAGAGATAAATGAAACTTCTACTGATATTGACGAAACGCAAGAAAAAATAATGCTTATGAAAAATCATGAAGATGTGACATTTCGCGAAAGTGAACCTGATCAATCGACTTCAACGGAAGAAATAAAAGAAATTGCAACTAAACAAGCTGACAAATCCAAAATAATACGGGATGAACACTTCTTCGTTCAGAGGGACAAAGACGAAGAAAAAGAAATCAAAGTTGAAAAGGACGCACAGTTGGATGATATAAAGGGAGATTATAAGGCTGAAATATTGATAGATGAAATTGTAAATATTGAATCTAAAGAAAAAGATGAGGAGGGTTCGTCGAGACCCGACACAGAAATAAAGTTTCCTCTTGGTGAAAACGAAAATAAAGAAACGACTTTATATAAAGATACCAAAACCGAAATAATAAAACAACTTGATGAAATAACAAGAGGTACTATACATTATCAAGGAACCGAAGAAGACAAAAAAACTTCTGAAATAGATAAACCAATCACTGTTGAGGAATTTAGTGATAAGAAAATTACTATTAGCGATTCTGAAGCTAAGAAATTAGAGGAAGTTCAAGATGGAGCCACATTTTCAAAAGTGAAAGATGATGAAACATTAGAAACAGTTGTTAATGAGGATGATTTAATATCTTTGAAACAAGAGGCACAAATGGACAAAAACATAATTTCCGACCATTCTGAAACAAACAGGGAACCAGAAACAGTGGAATTTGTAGAAAAAACTCCGACAGACAAAGATGAAGACGAAACGGAACAAAAACATTCCGTGCCTGACAATGAATTAGTAGGTAATTTGAAAACAGATTTAGAAAAGGGCGAAGAGGAACATAGGCTATTTGGGCCTGCTTGTGAACCAACTGAACCTTTACCAGTCTTTAACATGATAGACATTTGTAATGCAAATGCAAATTGTGACGCCCAAACAACAAAAGCTGCAGATGATGAAATGAGTACGTTCTCAATATCCAGCAAATCAGAACTTTATAAAGGAAATTCAACTTTGACAAATGACAATATATCGTACAGTGATACTTTCTTGTCGATGCATACATTTGATAATTCAGATAAAATCTTTGAAGAAAAAAATGATGAGAAAACAAAGGATAGTTCATCAGTTAAAACAATTTCGAAAGAAGAGATAGAGTCGGACAAAACTGAAGAAGAAATATCAGAAATCTCTGACGAAACACAAACAACTCAGACAAATATAATAAAAAACTTCGATGATGAAATAATAATCAAGAATGAAACCTCACCAGAATCCGATCTCAAAGAACGAATTGTTGTTAAAGAAAGTGAAGTCACACATGACAGATTATCTGAGGAATATGTAAGTGCGGTCGATAATTCAGGGGAGGCTTTTATAGAAAGGGATGGTGGTAAACTATCACGTCTGGTAGACAAAGTTAATGATACCTCCCAAAATGAATATTACAAAGAAAGTGGTCATACTAACATTTTTGACAATAGTGAAAATAAAAAGACACACGAAACATCAATTATATTAGAACAATCAAATTTAAAAACTGAAGGCTCTGGGATCAAATCGACAGAAAGAGGACAAGAAAACGATCTTTGTGCATCTAACGAAATAATCGTCATTAAATCACAAATTAAAGATGAAACTTCAAACGAGTCCCTATTGAAACAAGATATTGTTGTTAATGAGAAAAAAGGTCACGATGAAAGCCAAGAAGAATCTTTCTATATTGAAAAACCTATATATGCATCAATTGTAACTATAACGGAAGAAAAAGATGAACAGCTTACAACTGAAGCGGATGAAGTTGGCCGAGATAAGGCATCGCTAAACATAGCTGATAATTCAGTCGAGGCTATGAAGGAAATGAATGATGATACATCAGCGTCTTCTGATAATAAAGTTGTAGAAGATGAGAAAGAACTAGATCTCTTAATTATTCCTGAAAGTAAAGAGGCAGAAGAAACCACAATTATTTCAGAAGAATCAGACTTGAAAACACAGGAAAATAAAATATTGCCAAATGAAGAAACCAAATCAGATGAATCTGTAAAAACAACAAAACATGACACTCAACGTGAAATTATTACTGACGAACCTGATATCATATTGAAAGAGGAAGAACATGAAACGGATGTTCTATCTGACGAAAAGTCTGAAGACAAATCCGTTGATGAAGCAGAAATTATGACAGAAAGCTCACAGGAATCACTTCCCAAAGAAGAAAGTGTAGTGAATGAAGAAAAAGAAAAGGATGATTTCCAGGGGGAATCTGTTCTTATCAAAGAAGCTGAAACAGAAAATGCATCTGTTGTAATCATAACGGACAAGAAAGATGAAACACTGACAACTGAGACTGATGCAGAAAACCAAGTTGCGGAGCCTCCAAGCACAACTGAAACTTCAGTCGAAGCTATAAAAGAAACGGATAATGATACATCAGCCTCACCTGATAACGAAGTTGAGGTGACATCTTCGAAGGATGATGAGAAAGAACTTGATCTTTTAATTATTCCTGATAATGTTGAAAGTAAAGAGGCAGAAGAAACCACAATTATTTCAGACGATTCAGACTTAAAACCAAAAGAAAGTAAATTACTGCCAAATGAAGAAATCAAATCGGATGAATCTGTGAAAACAATAGAAAATGACACTGAACGTGAAACTGTTACTGACGAATCTGACATCAAATTGAAAGAGGAAGAACATGAAACGGATGTTCTATCTGATGAAAAGTCTGAAGACAAATCCGTTGATGAAGCAGAAATTATGACAGAAAGCTCACAGGAATCACTTCCCAAAGAAGGAAGTGAAGTGAATGAAGAAAAAGAAAAAGATGATTTCCAAGGAGAATCTGTTCTTATCAAAGAACCTGAAACAGAAAATGCATCTATTGCAATCATAACGGACGAGAAAGATGAAAAACTGACAACTGAGACTGATGCAGAAGACCAAGTTGCGGTGCCTCCAAGCACAGCTGAAAATTCAGTCGAAGCTATAAAAGAAACGGATAATGATACATCAGCCTCACCTGATAACGAAGTTGAGGTGATATCTTCGAAGGATGATGAGAAAGAACTTGATCTTTTAATTATTCCTGATAATGTTGAAAGTAAAGAGGCAGAAGAAACCACAATTATTTCAGACGATTCAGACTTAAAACCAAAAGAAAGTAAATTACTGCCAAATGAAGAAATCAAATCGGATGAATCTGTGAAAACAATAGAAAATGACACTGAACGTGAAACTGTTACTGACGAATCTGACATCAAATTGAAAGAGGAAGAACATGAAACGGATGTTCTATCTGATGAAAAGTCTGAAGAAAAATCCGTTGATGAAGCAGAAATTATGACAGAAACCTCACAGGAATCCCTTCTCAAAGAAGAAAGTGTAGTGAATGCAGAAAAAGAAAAGGATGATTTCCAGGGGGAATCTGTTCTTATCAAAGAAGCTGAAACAGAAAATGCATCTGTTGTAATCATAACGGACAAGAAAGATGAAACACTGACAACTGAGACTGATGCAGAAAACCAAGTTGCGGAGCCTCCAAGCACAACTGAAACTTCAGTCGAAGCTATAAAAGAAACGGATAATGATACATCAGCCTCACCTGATAACGAAGTTGAGGTGACATCTTCGAAGGATGATGAGAAAGAACTTGATCTCTTAATTATTCCTGATAATGTTGAAAGTAAAGAAGCAGAAGAAACCACAATTATTTCAGACGAATCAGGCTTAAAAACAAAAGAAAGTAAATTACTGCCAAATGAAGAAATCAAATCGGATGAATCTGTGAAAACAATAGAAAATGACACTGAACGTGAAACTGTTACTGACGAATCTGACATCAAATTGAAAGAGGAAGAACATGAAAAGGATGTTCTATCTGATGAAAAGTCTGAAGAAAAATCCGTTGATGAAGCAGAAATTATGACAGAAACCTCACAGGAATCCCTTCTCAAAGAAGAAAGTGTAGTGAATGCAGAAAAAGAAAAGGATGATTTCCAGGGGGAATCTGTTCTTATCAAAGAAGCTGAAACAGAAAATGCATCTGTTGTAATCATAACGGACAAGAAAGATGAAACACTGACAACTGAGACTGATGCAGAAAACCAAGTTGCGGAGCCTCCAAGCACAACTGAAACTTCAGTCGAAGCTATAAAAGAAACGGATAATGATACATCAGAGTCACCTGATAACGAAGTTGATTTGACATCTTCGAAGGATGATGAGAAAGAACTTGATCTCTTAATTATTCCTGATAATGTTGAAAGTAAAGAGGCAGAAGAAACCACAATTATTTCAGACGAATCAGGCTTGAAAACAGAAGAAAGTAAATCACTGCCAAATGAAGAAATAAAATCGGATGAATCTGTAAAAACAATAGAAAATGACACTGAACGTGAAACTGTTACTGACGAACCTGACAACAAATTGAAAGAGGAAGAACATGAAACGGATGTTCCATCTGATGAAAAGTCTGAAGACAAATCCGTTGATGAAGCAGAAATTATGACAGAAAGCTCACAGGAATCACTTCCCAAAGAAGGAAGTGAAGTGAATGAAGAAAAAGAAAAAGATGATTTCCAAGGAGAATCTGTTCTTATCAAAGAAACTGAAACAGAAAATGCATCTATTGCAATCATAACGGACGAGAAAGATGAAAAACTGACAACTGAGACTGATGCAGAAGACCAAGTTGCGGATACTCTAAGCACAGCTGAAAATTCAGTCGAAGCTATAAAAGAAACGAATAATGATACATCAGCGTCACCTGATAACGAAGTTGAGGTGACATCTTCGAAGGATGATGAGAAAGAACTTGATCTGTTAATTATTCCTGATAATGTTGAAAGTAAAGAGGCAGAAGAAACCACAATTATTTCAGACGATTTAGACTTAAAACAAAAAGAAAGTAAATTACTGCCAAATGAAGAAATCAAATCGGATGAATCTGTGAAAACAATAGAAAAAGACACTGAACGTGAAACTGTTACTGACGAATCTGACATCAAATTGAAAGAGGAAGAACATGAAACGGATGTTCTATCTGATGAAAAGTCTGAAGAAAAATCCGTTGATGAAGCAGAAATAATGCCAGAAACCTCACAGGAATCCCTTCTCAAAGAAGAAAGTGTAGTGAATGCAGAAAATGAAAAGGATGATTTCCAGGGGGAATCTGTTCTTATCAAAGAAACTGAAACAGAAAATGCATCTATTGTAATCATAACGGACGAGAAAGATGAAAACCTTGCAACTGAGGCTGATGCAGAAGACCAAGTTGCGGATACTCTAAGCACAGCTGAAAATTCAGTCGAAGCTATAAAAGAAACGAATAATGATACATCAGCGTCACCTGATAACAAAGTTGAGGTAACATGTTCGAAGGATGATGAGAAAGATCTTGATCATTTAATTATTCCTGATAATGGTGAAAGTAAAGAGGCAGAAGAAACCACAATTATTTCAGACGGATCAGACTTGAAAACAGAGGAAAGTAAATTACTGCCAAATGAAGAAACCAAAGCGGATGAATCTGTGAAAACAATGGAAAATGACACTGAACGTGAGACTTTTACCGACAAACCTGAGATCAAATTGAATAAGGAAGAACATGAAACGGATGTTCTGTCTGATGAACAGTCCGTTGATAAAGCAATAATTAAGGCAGAAATCTCCCAGAAATCCCTTCACAAAGAAGTCAGTGTAGAAAATGAAGGAAAAGAAATAAGTGAGGTCCAAGGAGAATCAATTCTTTTAAAGGAACCTGAAATGGGAAATTCATCCATTTCAATTATTACAGAAGAAAATGATAAAAACCTAACAAATGAGGCTGCTAACTTAGACCATGTTGAGAATTTTCCAAGCACAGTTGATAGTTCAGTTGAAGCTATCAAAGAAAAGGATAATGATATTTTAGCATCACCTGAAACGACTAAAGCTAACGCATCTGCTGAAATAGTAACAGAAAAATCTTTTGATAAGATCTTAGAAGATCTTGAATTGAAAGAACCTGACACAGACAAGGTGAATCTAGAGACCAAAGTTATGGATACAGACAACAAACAACAATATGACATACATACCAATACATTAAGTGACGTAACAACTATCACAGACAGTAATGACGAAAGCACATTGCAGCTAACGACAATCACCGACAGCCCAAGGAATATTTCCTACGAGGAAACTGAAGATACTGCAAGGTCAAATGACACAACAGATGACGTCACTAATGACAATACATATTCTGATACATTCGAATCCTTATCTGATAAACCTACAACAATTGAAACAGGAGATGACAATGGCTCAAAGAAGACGACGGACAACACAGGGCTTAAAACATCCACACTTGTAGCTGAGAATCTAAGATCTTCTCTTTCTGATTTTGAAGATCTTCCCTTAGAATAAATGATCTTTGACATGTTTATTATGAGACTGGAACATGTGATATGTGAAACTTTCATTGGTGATATCTGATACTGGATATGTGAAATATTTAAAAGTTATATCATTGAATGTTCACATAATTTATGGCATTTATTATTTCCAAGGAACACATGTGCATAATAAAAAATAGATTTACTTTGAAAGATTAAAACAGTGATAAAATGCATCAGTATTGCCTGGTACCTTTCGATCCATTGATCTTTTCCTTACTCTCCCAGATCAGATGAACTACTCGTTCTGGTTATTAGCATTTAATAATTTAGTTGTATTAAATTGCATTTATTCATTTAAAGTTTTTCTCATTTTCACTATTTAACACTTGTTGGAAAATACTGCAGATTTTTTTTATAAATTGTTACATGTGTATATTTATGCATACAGCTGTAGAGATGTTTATTTTTTACCATTCAATGTAGCAATAGCTTAACGAGCATTTCAATGCATGTTAAGCTTTCTATGAGTTAAATATACAATTAGAATTTTCTACAAAAATACTGGTTATGTTGTAACATGAAATTTAGTCGGTTAGAAACTTTGATGGTCTTTTTTATTTTATTTAATCAAGAAGAAGATAATTTGGTTTCATGTCTCAAATTTGGAAGCAATTTAACTGAAACAATTATTGTACTTTTTGAAGCAATTTAACTGAAACAATTATTGTACTTTTTGAAGCGATTTAACTGAAACAATTATTGTACTTTTAGAAGCAATTTAACTGAAACAATTATTGTACTTTTTGAAGCAATTTAACTGAAACAATTATTGTACTTTTTGAAGCAATTTAACTGAAACAATTATTGTACTTTTTGAAGCAATTTAACTGAAACAATTATTGTACTTTTTGAAGCAATTTAACTGAACCAATTATTGTACTTTTAGAAGCAATTTAACTGAAACAATTATTGTACTTTTTGAAGCAATTTAACTGAAACAATTATTGTACTTTTTGAAGCAATTTAACTGAAACAAATATTGTACTGTTACACATCTTCAATAAGTTTTATATTTCAACTGATAAGCCCATATATCTGTAAAATCATTAAAATTTCGTTAGAAACAAAAACATTGATAGACCATGTTCATTTAAACGAAGTAAAATTTATTATTAAATCTGGAATATCTGTGATTATCATATCACAGACACTATGTTGTCTTTGTATAAGACTTTCTTTGTTTAAGATATCAGTCTATTTAATTATTTAATTTTGTTTCTATATTTCGGAGATTTTTGTTGTGCACTACTTTTAAAACCAGCACTGTGATAATCTTATTTATTATTGATTTTATAGAATAATCATATATATACATATAGATATAAACATGTAGCAATATACTTAATGTATATTAATATGATAAATTAAATAAGACCAAATTCATGGGCAGTTCTTATATTAAGAAGTCTTTTAAATGTTATTTTTAATGCTTAGCCCTTGTGATATTTCTGAAAATATTGTTTAGACTTCTTTACAATGTAGTCTCTTTATTTTATACATGTATTTAATAATGTATGATTATTCCACATAAATCAAATTAACTTTGTATTCAACAAGTAATGTGTGGAAAATTTGTAACAGATCAGTACTAGAATAGGATAAATATGTAGTATGTTTATCTTTTGTTAAAATAATAGTTACCAATTTTGTATTGAAATTCTTAAAAACTAATTTTATACTAAATTGAAAGTTAAATTTAAATACTTATCTCATATTTATTTTATAATTAAAAAAAATGTGTAATATTATTAACCCGGTTTAAAACCTATTGTTTTACACTGCATACTGCACTTAACTTAAAAATGTATTTCTATTTTTATTATCTTACAATATAAGGTAATTGCATGTGATAAAACAAGAACTATTTAACAATAATTGTTTACCAGATCATTTTTATGATTAAACTTGTCAACCTAATTTGCATAATTCGATTTGTTAACATTATCATTTGTATGATTAGATTTTGTATCATTTGTATGATTAAATTTGTTTACAATTTCATTTGCATGATTAGATTCGTTAACCTTATCATTTGTATGATTATATTTGTTAACTTATTATTTGTATGATTGTGTTTGCTTACTATATTATTTTTATGCTTTGATTTGTTTAACTGGTCATTTGTATGATTAGATTTGTTTAAGTTATCATTTGTATGATTGAATTTCCTTACTTTATCATTTGTATGATTAGAATTATTCACTTTATCACTATTATGCTATGATTTGTTTAACTTGTCATTTGCATGATTAGATTTGTTTAACTTAGCATTTGTATGACTGGACTGGCTTATTTTATTGTTTGTATGATAAGATTTGTTAACCGTAATATTTAGTTGTCTTCTACCTCATCAATACCATTATAAAACATAAACCAATCACTTTAAATGAAATAATCAATCACTGCAATTGCTTATCCTAGTATTTGCTGTATATATGTGTAAAAGACTGCCAAATTTGATTGTTTTAAAAATCACTGTTTGTATGTTATTGTTATACAGTTATGTATGTTATATTTTCAATAAACTCTACATATCATTTAAAAACTTTGTCGTTTTTCTGCTTGCTTAGAATATTTATCAAACTGTATCTCAGAAAGCAAGTTTTTTCATTGGAGGAAATAATATTTCAGGATTTCTACAATGTTTAAGATAAAGTGGCCAAAACATTGCACATTAAATGAGAAAGAACAGTTCCATTATAAACCAACAAGAGCTGTCACAGGAGACAGCGAAGCTCGACTAATTAAATACTGGACTCCGTAAGGAAGACTAAAGTATGAAAGAAAATTCAATTATGATATAAATATATTTCTTCTTATGGCAAGAAGTTATAGTTGTTAACGTAAATTCCAAGTTCAACGGAGAATAATTCATTCTGGAGATAGTCACACTAGAGTTATGGACCATGTCACACAACATGTGTGTACTGATAAGAAATATATATGAAGTTTGAAGTAGATACCTTAAAAAGTAAAGAAGTTATATTTCTTAAAGAAAATTCTAAGTTCAAAGGGAGATAAATCTGAAAATATTGCTTCAAGAGTTATGAACCTTTCCACATAAGATCTGATTGAGATAAGGAATACGTAGTAGATACCTTAAAACTAAAGAAGTTATAGTAAAAAATAACATTTTCAAGTAAAAAATCTAAGTAAATGGGGAGATAAATTTTGCAATATTGGTGCTAGAGTTATGAACCTTGTCACTTAAGATGTGGTTAATGATAAGAAACATATATTTGAAGTATGAAGAAATAAATAAGTAACAGTAAAAAATAATATTTTTTAAGAAAAAAGTTCAAAGGGAGATAAATCTAAAAATATTGGTGCTAGAGTTATGAACCTTGTCACATAAGATGTGTAATGATGTTGATGATAAGAAACATATATTTAAAGTTGATACCTTATTGAATGAAAAAGTTACAGTGAAAAATATTTTACTGCACCAAAACTTTAATCCGAAATCTGGACGCAGACGCCGGGGCAAGTAGGACAGCTCTCAATATACTTCGTATAGTCGAGCTTAAAATTATATGGTCCATCCTCTGAAATTTTGATTAATAAACCCTAATTCAGGACTACCTTGACCTCATCACTATAAACCTTGGTCTCTCTTGGTTTTCTATTGATAATTACCTTTTAATTTCCTTTTTGACTCACTACCACCTTCATTGTCAGTATTTACCAATGGCTACCTTGAACACATTCAATCATGTATAGAGTATTATATGGGACTGATGGGTTCAGTTGCAAAACAAGATCACATACATGTAAGATTTACCTCAATGGTCGTGTCCTAAGTAATTCAGACCTGGGGTAATCATTAACTGTAATCATTGATTTTGTAATTGATTACATGATTACACTGTAATCATCATGTAATTGATAACCTTGCCCAAAATTGATTACATTAATTGTAATTAATCAATTACAGCTTAAATTCAGTCAGTAATTATGATTACATTTTGATTGACATTGATTACTTTCAGATTTAAAAGGAAACTATTTAAGTTCAAAGGATGCCTTTATTTTACATTATACAGTTTAACTTTTGTTTTTTAGTTATACAGTAAAAATCCTCAATTAGACTGATAAAAGTGAACATTCTTATCATTTCTTACATAGTTTACTTTAAGACCATGGTCTACTTTAGTCATTTTGTATGAATAAACAATATGTTTATTTATATGCATCTACAAATACATTGTAAAAGAAACTATCAAAGAATGCTTTGATATTTAATCTGATAAAAGGAAAACATAGTTCTGGAGAAATTAAACGTTAATTTTACAGTATCACTTATTATATGATGTACATAAATCAAATAAAATTTTTAATTTTCAAAAAATAAATGTGCTGAAAGCAACAATGTACCACTCTAAAATTGACCTTCTCACCTAATTTCATACAATAACCCAATAACAGTTTTTCACACCTTGTGAAATCAAGTGTCATGCTGAAAGAGCATTCAAGCAGATAATAACAACAAATTTAAGATCTAGATAGGTGTTGACTTCAATATCAGTGGTCTCAATAGTCACATTAAAATTAAAACAAAAAATGGGACTGACTAATAATGGTGGTCTTAAAAGTGAATAAGCAGGGGGTTAAATCTGGATAATGAAACCATTGACTTAAAGAATCTTTTTAAAAATGGTCTTAATAGCAGGATGGTCTTAATTCTGGGGTGGTTTAATGTACATTCAGAGTGTATATCAAAATCCCCTTGATCATAATCCCCTTGGTTGAAAAATGACATAGTGATCGAAATCCCCTCAACAGAAATGACCGGGTGTTCATAATCCCCTTGATGGATAGTCAAAATCCCCTTGGCAAAAATGATGGGGTGGTCAAAATCCCCTCAACTTGTGAAAAACAACCCCCTTTACTCAATATTCTTTTTCCTTTGATCTTTTGTCACTCCAGCTAAACTATTGTGTTACATAAAGAAATGTTGCAAACAGCAGTTACATTGAGTAGAGGAAAGAGTATGGAGTATACTTTAGCAATATAATACAGGTTATTTTTAAATACTCCAATGTTGTCATTTTCATGTTAATATAAAATATAAAACCAGACATAATATTTCACTCTTATTTATTTTCTGACAGCACATTTTACATATGTTAGCACATTCACAGAATTTACATAGCACCGACATTATTTTATTCTGATAATCTGTCCCAGAGCACCCAAGAAGTCTTCAAGGGATTTAATGCCACTTGCGTACTGTGAGCACAAAACTTTCAGTCTCTGCTGGTGAGCTTTAGTGGCCTTCTTCACTCGTTTCCATAAACCATCTGGATGCACAATCTAGGAGGCGAAGACCGTCATTAGTGGCGAAGATGAGGATACGGTTGTCTGGAGACTCGTTGTCGTAGATGACATTACTTGCAAACTCAATAGGGAAAGGAACAGGAACATCTCTGATTGTTGATGGGTTCTTAGGTGCTGTTCCTCTCTTGGCGCGTCTCACAGTTTGCTTCAAACTCTTTACGGAACTGGCAGCAATAACCTGAAGTAAAAATAAAGCAACAGTTATCATGCACTCAATTCAATTATTTCATTTTCCTATTTCACAGTTGTTTGTCTGGCCTTTGTGTCTGTACATTCTGGGCATTTAACATATTCATCAGTATTGTCATTATATCATTAATATATCATCATTAAAAGTAATCTTACTAATATAAATTTCCAAAGTTGTTTATTTCATGAGAAGACCCATGTGCATTTTACAGAGCATGTTGAAATTTAAAAAAAGAACAATTTTGAAATTTACAGGATTTCTATGAGTCTTATTTATTAACTCACCTCTGTAGGCTGCAGCGATAATTTATCTGTTACTATCTGTCCGGGTTTACCACGGTTAGCTTCAGCAGATGCTTTTATCTCACTGCGGACTTTAAGTGCCTGCATTGCAAATTTGTCAGGAGCATGACTGTGCGCGGTTTCAGATTTGACAGAAGACACCTAGAAATAGAACATAAAGTTAGCATGCTGAAATTAATATTTACCTATTATAATTCAGATTTATGCATACTTTTATTATGATGTGCTTTATGTCTCCATTAATATTTTCATGTAATCTCTTTTGCTTTACTTAAAAAGAGTGCTATACAAAGGTTAAAAAAAATTAATTCAGGCATAACTTGCACAATTGATACATATTAGTTTATCTCATGTTCAATGTACCAAATGATTATTATTGATTATATACTTACATGTAAATCAGTAGTCAGTGCACCTTTACAGTTCAGACCAATTCTCTGAGAGCATTCCCACCGCATTGAGGACTTATTTTCATTTTTCTTTGTGTAGGCATAACCTTCATACAGAAGCTTACGAGAACCTTTGTTACTTGTAATGAATTCCATTTTGGGTATTCATGTCTATTGCAGAGAGCCATCATATTATATACCCAACAAAATAACAGTTTGCAGTTAAGTAAAACAAAGATGAAGTAATTTTAGATAGCAAACTGCAATTAATAGCCTCATTTTAAGTTATTATCTGGAAAGATCTAAAGCTAGTGTGCAACAAATTTGCCTTTAAAGGTGTTTATCATTGCAAAGATTAATTGATTGTTTGTTACATATAACTATAATTGCAATGATTAATTATAATCAACTATCATTTATTTGTTTGTATTTTACAATTTTCTCAGCAATAATAACATCAAATAAAGGGTGTCATTATTAACTGGCTGTGACAAACATACACCTTTTAATTGTTTGTATGCTTTCTCTCTTTTTTTCAGCAATTCTTGAAGCAGTTGGTTCTTAAATTCATTGAACTAAAAAGAAAAATAAGAAAAGAAATTATTTGAGGGGATTTTGACTACCCACTGAGGGGATTATGACCACCCCTTTATTTTTGCCAAGGGGATTATGATAACCCTGTCATTTCTGTTGAGGGGATTTCGATCACTATGTCGTTTATCAACCAAGGGGATTATGATCAAGGGGATTTTGAGCGTCTCCCGTACATTCAATGTAATCAATTATCAATCAATTACTCTCTTAAAAGTAATTGTAATTCAATTGATTACAGAGGCAAATGTGAGTAATCAATCTTAATCAATTACAATAAAATCTGAAAGTAATTGTAATTTAATCAATTACTGATCCATGTAATCATCCCCAGGTCTGCTAAGTATCAGAGATATTTATGAATCAATATGCACATAAACTCAAACAAATCTGCCCATTTTAATAAAGTCAACAACAAAAATGTATAATAATTTTTTATTTTACAATAACTAAATATTTTTAACATTATATTGTACATTTAAAAGAAATCTATAATATTTTTTTAAGATGAACACAAATTACATTTTAAAAAAATGTATAAGCTTAACATTGTGTAAATGATGCTTATAACAGAAAACTGGAATACATAAATATTTCCTGAATATTAATTATCATATGAGAAAATGACTTCATATGCAAATTATTAAATATTAAGGTAGTCTTACTGCAATGATTTCCCCGCCAAAATATTTCTTAAATCAGCCAATATCATAATAAATAGGTCATTTCCAGAACGTTATTTATCCCAATCTTTGGTATTCAATAAATTTTAATCTTTTGTAACCACAATTTAGTACATAGCAATATAGGATAAGTGATTGCAAATAATCTAATGCCCAAGATTTAGAAAAAAAATAACGTTCCTGAAAGAACTGATTTGCTACGATATAGGCCGATGTTAGATTTTTTTGTCCGGAAAGCATTACAGTTAGACTAACTTGATAAAAATACCATATATGCTTTGCCTATACAGCTGATCACTGTGTCACTGCGTATACATGTTTATTTCTGCATAGTAAATATAGATAATGTATGTGTGTCAATTAAGTGTACTGGTATTTAAAAAAAAACAACCAACTTTTCTGTGTGTTAATTTTTAAAAACATCCACTGGGAACAAATACTAACTGTCTTTTACAAAATCAAACCTTATTCAATGCTATGGAAAAAAATTATATGAAAAAAAAATGAAAAAAATATCTTAATATAACCTCCCTTGAAAAAATGTGTTTACACCCTCAAAAAGACAGTTTGATCAACTTTATGTAACAAACAGTGAATCACATTCTTATTTTCACCTAACATACATACACACCTAATATAACCGAGTCTTAAAGATATATGAATGCAATAATTCTGATGTAACTGCTACATTTTCCACTCAAATTGACCAAAAAACTGACCCACAAAAATGGATTATCCTTTTATTTACGAGCATATCTATATATTATATAGTGTACAGTTTTCTATTTTAAGTGTACAAGATGATTTATTAAAGAATTTCAAATTTTTATGATTTAAGGCAATTGGACCTATATTGAGTTCCTTTAATGATAAAAAATGAGACAACTCCATTTAATAATTTAGCAGGATAATTGTCATTATTCCATCAATGTTTTTAAAAACTATTATCTACATCATGCTATCTCCAGAAAATCCTCTCCATCTATCTGATTTCAGGTAAGCTGCTAATCTAGGTCTAGATGCTATCCTTTCTTTAAATGCTTTTAACAAAGGCATATACTCTGCAGCCTTGTAAGTGTCCGGAAACTGGAACTCCGTGGCATGTAATATATGGAATAAACTAAGGTCACAATAAGTCAGCTTCTCTCCGAATAAAAACCTGAAATATTAGATGCAAAGAGAAAATTAATGTTAGATTAAATACCAATTAAATTGTTCTATATATTCAGCTTGTATTACTTGAATAAGTAAGACAGAAACTAAACTCTGTAATGAGTATACAGTTTTATACAGTATTTAGTATGATTTGGCATGAAATCATGTTGAATATCAATTTGAAATACGAGGTGGTATATGATAAAAGGTAATCATATAAAAATACTTTAAACATGGAAAAAGATACTCTGCTCTTGATTTGTTTGTTATGGCACACCAACACAATTTAAGTCATATGCCTGCGGAACAGGAAAGATGATTTTGGCTAACCTCAGGCGTAACAATCTTAAAGCAACACTAAGGGTAAAAACCACCACATCCGCTGAAGCTAAGAGATGCATAGACTCCAGTAATTCGAACCCATGTTGTAACCTTCTTACAGTAAAGAAAATGATGATGGACAGAAATATGGATGGACCGACAGACAGACAGACGGACAAAGTGACAACTATATGCTCTCTCATCCAGAATCATAAAAAAACATATTTTTATACACATACCTATGGTACCCTACCCCTTTAAATGCTAGATTTTTTTTTTTTTCAATTTTTTATTTGGGTTTTACATTTCACCAACACAGTATAGGTCATATACCGGCTTTATAGCACAAATGAACAATGTTCCGTAAATAAGATAGATAGGCACATTTAAGCCGCGTCACGACAAAACCAACATAATGTGTTTGCGACCAGCATGGATCCAGACCAGCCTGCGCATCCGCACAGTCTGATCAGGATCCATCCTGTTCGCTTACAAACTCTATTACAAATAGAGAAACTGATAGCGAACGGCATGGATCCTGATCAGACTGCGCGGATGCGCAGGCTGGTCTGGATCCATGCTGGTTTTGTCATGACACGGCTCATTTTTTAAACTTTTTTTGGTCTATGTGTCCATCTCCATGTGGACAATTTTAACCTTGGATATATAGCAACTTCAATCTATAAGCTAGAGATTCCATTCCTGGACATAAGCTAAATCTGCCTCAATTTTGATTCCAATATGACCTTTATCCCCTAATGACTGTCACTTGACCTTTAAGGTCATAATTTAAAAATTAAGGAAATTCTGCCCCGACTCTGTCGTTTAAGATGAAATGGCTTTAATGTTTTATGACATGTTATCATCTGTCTTGTAAGATGTTTTATCACACACCCGTGCCGATTTTGCGACTCCGTAAATATGGTATTGCACGGCCGTGCATATATTTTGACGTGACGTCATTAGCGTTATACAAACATAGTGTAAAGACGCGCTAAATGTTAGCGTTATACTATAGGCGCGTCAATGAAAAATGACTCTTATTTCACTTTAAACGGTCTTTATTTTGGGTATGTGATAAATAGAATATTAAATTCGTGTAAGTTCATTACTGAATTTATTGCAATCTTGGAATAAAATAATATTATGCTCGCCAGAGGCTCGCATAATATAATTTTATTCAACTCGTGCAATAAATTCAGTATTGAACTTACACTCATTCAATATCCTCTATAAAACACTCATGAAGATGCTTAAATTTTCTTATTCAACTAGCTTTGCTACATTTTCTTTGCTAAAGACTTTCTCTGAATCTCTATCTTATATCAGTGCATAAGAACAAGTTCAACAAAATTCATACCCTTTTCCGCCATTATTTGATGCAAGTACCCTTTCAAAGTATTTCATCCATCTAGACAACCTTTCTGCGACAAATCTATCTATGTATGGCTGTGTTTCTTCTTTCTGTATGGAGTAAGATCCGACCGGATAAATGCCGTGAAATGCGAGGCGACCTTCGGCAATGTAGTCATGACAACATGCACTGATTTGTTCAGCGTGAAGTTTGTCTTCTACAGTGTCCGGGTATATACCTAACACTTCACCAAGGTACCGACATATCACAGATGTCTGAGATAACTGAAAATTACCTTAAATAAAAACAAATGAAAAGTTTACATTGTCACATAATACTCAAATAATACTCTAAAAAATTCATGATATTTTAAACTTCTTTAGTCAAATATTCATTAAATTTTAAACTGAATCCAAATCTTAAAGCTGCATGCCTCCAGAAGAGTCAAACTACTTCAATAAAATCAAACTTGATAAAAATGTACTAAAGTTTTAGGATATGTAAAAAGATTTAAGATTAAAGTAATATTTTACATGTTCTGTGCAACCAATGACTGATTTTCCAGCATTTACAACTATATTTCTACTGCGTTACTAACGCAGTAAGGGCTATTTATGCATATTTTGACCACGTTTTAGTAATTTACGTTGGTTGTAAGTGGCATTGAAAATGTGTAAATTGCTTCCTTTTGTTTACTTCACAATTATTAAACATTCAGATACATTTTAAAATTTTCATGAAAATTACCATGAATTTTGAGGCGTGCTGCTTTAACTTGTATCTTGTAAATCAGTAATTTTTTTTAATTGTATGTCCAAAATTATCATTATGTAAACCAATCATATTGTTTTTATTATGCTATATAGTGTGCAGAACAATAATCCGACTCTTTTTTATAAATCCTTAAAACAACACAAGTTGTTTGTAGAACACAGTCATGTGTACCCCTCTAAACCATATAAAACACATGTATACCCCTCCAAGCCATGTGAAACGCATGTATACCCCTCCAAGTCATGTGAAACACATGCATACCCCTCCAAGCCATGTAAAACACATGTATACCCCTCCAAGCCATGTTAAACGCATGTATACCCCTCCAAGCCATGTAAAACGCATGTATACCCCTCCAAGCCATATAAAACACATGTATACCCCTCCAAGCCATGTGAAACACATGCAATTGCATACCCCTCCAAGCCATGTAAAACACATGCATACCCCTCCAAGCCATGTAAAACACATGTATACCCCTCCAAGCCATGTAAAACACATGTATACCCCTCCAAGCTATGTAAAACACATGTATACCCCTCCAAGCCATGTAAAACACATGTATACCCCTCCAAGCCATGTAAAACACATGTATACCCCTCCAAGCCATTTAAAACACATGTATACCCCTCCAAGCCATGTAAAACACATGTATACCCCTCCAAGCTATGTAAAACACATGTATACCCTCCAAGCCATGTAAAACACATGTATACCCCTCCAAGCCATGTAAAACACATGTATACCCTCCAAGCCATGTAAAACACATGTATACCCCTCTACCCCACATAAAACAGGTGTTTATGCCCTCCCACCAATGTAAAACATATGTTTATCTCTCTATCCATGTAAAACACATATAAACTCCTTACCCCATGTAAAACACATGGTAAGCAAACTAACACATGTAAAACATATACATTGTATAGACTCCTCTAATCATAAACAATTAAGACCTAGGTTGCCCCCTTTCTGCACTATTTCATACACAGGTGGTCACCTTAGTAGAACCAGCAATAGAATTCATACCTTTTTTAATCATTGGTGGAGCAAAATGTGGGTACCCTTCCATCTTCCCGTCAACAATTTTATCTCGGATACCAGCAAATGTTTCAGCACATTCCTTGTATGGTGTTCCAGTCTCCTCAAATAACAGCCTGATGAACTCTGACCTCCCAGAAAATTTAGGATAGTAATATATCACCCAATCTTCAGCCATATTCCTGAAATAATTGTTTTTTTTTAATTATTTAATATAATATGCTACAGAAAGATAATTACATTTATTCGGTTTTTGAATCATTTCTTCAACCAATAAAAATTTGAGCCGCACCATAACAAAACCAACATAGTGCTATTACGACCAACATGGATCCAGCCTGCACATCCATGCAGTCTGATCAGGATCCATTCTGTTTGCATCAGTTTCTCTACTTTTATTAGGGTTTGTAAACGAACAGCATGGATCCTCATCAGACTGTGCGGATGTGCAGGCTGGTCTGGATCCATGCTGGTCGCAAAAGCACTATGTTGGTTTTGTTATGGCACAGCTCAAATAGATCAGATAAGAAAAAGAAAAGATAATCCATCAGAGGAAGTTATCGCACTTACGTATTCTTCTACAGTACACATGTACTTATGAATTAGGGACATTAATGTATCATCAAATTTTCAGTTGTGTATAAGGAATTTAAATACCTACACTCTGATAAACATTTTATATCTAACTGTGTGCATCAAAATATAGTATATGCAAGCAAAATTCTCTTCTCAAATTAAATGTTTATCATATATCTATAATCATTAGCATGTCTCGTGTTTAATTTTATCAAGTTACACACATTGTACTTTATAGTACATTAAAAATTTTAATTTTATACACTGATATTGATTTTTTCAACATTAATAAAGGCTGGGGGAGGGAGGGTAAAATGTAAACATTATGTGTAGTTAGAACCACTCTAGAATGTCTCTGATAAATCAACTTTATACATTTTAAACTGCATTACTTATGGTACTATTACATTTAAAATTCTAAACTGAAAGAATTAAATTGCGCTGTGAAATAAATACATAATGTGTAACTAAGTGATATGTGCACAATATTGCAGAATAAAATGTTTATCAAATATGATGATGTTTTAATTAGAACTGAAATGTTCACAGATTTGTCAGATCTTAAAATGATCACACATGCAAGATCAGTTAGAATTTGAAACTTTAGATCCTTATTTACTACACTGGCATTTCCCGAGTGACCCTTAAATAAATGGATTTAGATTTCTGAAGACAAAATTCAATGATATTTTTGCAAATAAATGCTTTTTTATGAATATTTAGAAAGTGTTTTAAAGGTTTAAAATAGTGTCAAGATTGAAGTGATAAAGTAATTTAAGCTGGCATAAAGCTTTACAGTCCACAAAACACAATACTGATAGTGACTGCATGGTTGATGAACCATAAGCGATTAACCTTTTCCACCAGTACAGAACCAGATCAGTTTACACATTTATACAGTCTTAAGTTATCAGGCTGTATACTGTTGACTGGCTAATTAAAATTTTCATTCTGATATCCACAATCATGATAATGGACTGTCCTAAAAAAAGAAGCTGGACAAGTCCATTACTGAAATTCAGCAGGTTAAAAGATCAGAAGTTTACTTTTCATATACTCATCAGGAGGCATGCATCTCTAAACAATAACTGCATTATTTTTTATCAACTTCAAAAAGCTCTCAAATAATGCAATTTGCAATAGTCTAGGCTATACATGTAATTTGTAACTAAAATCAAACTCACAGGTTTAAGTTGTACCCTGTCTTATAAATCCTACTTATCAAACTTTAAAACCCTTATCACTCAAGAAAAACATTTAACTCTGCAAGATAATGATTCTGTATAGGAATATCTTTACTTATACATGTATATATAATATAACATTCTACATTTTGACAGGGTATACATACCTTATGCAGTGTAATATATAAATATCTGGAGAATTTGACAGTTAGAACAACAAGTAGAACAAAATCTAGAACATTCTTTTGTCTACATGGAGATCTAAACATTTGCAGTATTAGGTCAATAGATACAAATATATTTATTTAACAATTGATTATAATATAATAGCTTATATAACATTTATTTTACATGTATAACATTTATACCTCTAGGTTAGTAGTTATCAAATATCCTAATACATGTAAATGTGAATACATCATTTTACCTAGTTTAAAGCAGCATTGACTGTTCTGGTAACCATAATATATTAAATTTAAGTAGATATATTTATTGAACACATTCTACTTTTTGTAAATTAACATTCACACAAAAAGATTTCCTTAACCATTACCCTGCTAAATATCTTAAATGGACATGTCCATCTTTCAATCTAGAGCTACATGTCTCCAGATCAAAAAAAATCAACATTAAGAAAAATGTAGTAAGGTTTTAAGAATTTTATTAAAACAGATTCAAGTAAAGATTTACATGTTACAGGGATTTTTGTTACTTATTTTATAGCCGCTATTGGGTCATATTCCCAATTGAATATAGTATATTATTTTCCCAATCCACAGGAAAATATTCCCAAATGAAAGTTAAAAAAAAATATTGAATAAAGAATTCTACAATCTTTGAAAATAAGGGCTTCTTCTCTGTATTAGTGCTTAAATGTTTGGAGATGCCACCCTAGGCCATCCTTAAAAAAATGTTTGTTTGCAGTAACCCGACCCAGAATTTTCAAGGTGGGTAGGTAGGTCGATTTTTTTTTTTTTATTGAACTGTACTCCCAAATAAACATGGAATTTCAAAATGCGGGACAATATATGCTTTGATAATCTGGTAACAATTAATAAATTGATAACTGAATTTTAATTTAATAAGACCTACATTTTATTTCTTCTATTAACTTTTAAAAGAACGAAAACAAAGCACAAGGCATAATTTTCTGATTCAAAAAAAAAAATTTTTTATCCAGACCATGAAAAAAAATTTTGAGTAGGGGCAAATTTTGTGAGTCGGTCGCGTTACTGCAAACAAACATTTTTTTAAGGATGGCCCTAGTAGACAGTGATTGTTTGCATACATTTAATCACTGCAAAATTTCAGTCATGCATTTTTTCCCCATTTTTAACAAAATATTGCTGAAATTCCCAATTCCATGGGTATGGGTTATGTTCCCAAAATCCTGGAAAAAATCCCTGTGTTATGTGTGATTTGTGACTGATTTTGCAGTAATTATAACCATATTTTACGCATATTTTGACCTCCTTTCGGTAGTTCACGTAAATCGTAAGTGCAGATTGCAATGTGTAGATTACTTTCTTTGTTCCCATCACAATATTTTACTCTTAAATACATTATCAAAATTTCCATGAAAAAATTTTCATGAAAATACAGACTTTGCCAACAGCCATGAGAGGGTCATGACAAATAGAATCACTTTTTTCTCTTCGAAAGTACAAAATTATGATACAATACAAAATTTAAATACCATTATTTATGTTGTTCAATATTATATATAAGACTGACAGTTTATATACATGTACATTGGTACATAAGTTATTTAGATATTATAAAGGCAGTCATCCATGACCTAATATATTATCAAATGGAAAGTAATTGTAACACATTAATTTTCGTTTACATGTACCTCACTACCTGTAACTTTTACTTTAAACATTTAATTTTATGTGTCACTCAGGAGTAATATGTGATTTGCATGTCTTAATATAATTCTTCTTCATTTTCAGTCATGTTTAAGCATAATTTATATGTATCATGTGCCAAATGATTTTAATACATGAAAACAAATTAATAACCTACACAAACCAATTACATACATTATGACAGGTGCAAATATTGAGATGAACCCTGTAAGAAATGTACTAACTGCATACAGTATAACCTGTGAAAAGTGGCCATGTGATGTAACTGTAGTTATGTGACCTTGAGACTTTTTTCATAATCATTTATTAGTTTTTTATTAGTTACTCTAATATTTCTTAACTTGGACTTTTTGTACTAACGCCTTTTTACCTATTCCAACTCTATTGGTGGCATTCACAAAAATTTGGGAATAAAAGCCTTTAATAAAGAGTTTGTATAATCATAAAATGTGGTTGAAATGTGTTACTTTCCATTGAATAATATATATTAGGATGATACATATTGATTGACCACAATATACATAGTAAATGCATTACAGCATAATGCTGCACCACCTTCACTCATGGCTAGTGATCGTTAACCACTTTGCCATGGAAGCCAGTCATAAGTACAAGAAAATGAATAAATATTTGGAAAATATAAAACAGGAACTCACCCTTTGTCAAGTTCAGGAATTTTCTTTAGTTTCTCAGCCTTTTTCCCTTTACTGCCAACCTGAGATAATGCCTTAATGTTAGTACCTTGTAACTGTATTTTCACTTGTACCTGTTTCTTAGCTTTATCTTTTTTCCTGACTTCATTACTGGTTTCAACAATTGTTTTAACAGTACTTTTATCCTGACTTTCAATATCTTTGTTAATGATACCACCTGAGTTCGTTTCCAAACTTTCACCAATTGTCACTTCTCCCCTTTTCAATTCTAATTCCTCATTTTCTTCAACATATGCATCTATGTCCAAATCTGAATCTGCCTCATTCCCTACTAAACCTAGTGTGCTGTCTACTTCCATGTTTGTAAGTTTCCCATCTTGCTCATTTGTTTCACTATCTAAGCCTTTACACACTGTTCTGTCTGCTACAGTTCTTCCTTCCAAATTTACAGTATCATTTTCTTCCCTGTCAGAATCTTTTACCAATTCCAAGTCAGAATTCCCACATTCTCCACCACTTCTTTTTGAAACTTTTCTCACTTTTGAATGATTATCTGGTCTTTTATTTCCAGGCATATTACCTTTTGCTAAATCATGTGGTCTTTTAATAGTTCTTTTAGATTTAGCATGGTCTGTATCAGGTTTTATAGGTGAAGTTTCACCACCACCTTCTGTGTCCTCTGAACTTTCTTCACTATTGCCCTCTGCATAAAGAAATTCTTTACTTGTGTTTACTACTAAGGGAACTTCTTCCCCATTTAAAAGTTGAGTAAAAACACTTTGGTTTACTGTCTGACCTTGGAATAATGTCTGTAGACTGTCAAACACGCACTGAGATCGTATCACATTCCGTAACAACACCACACATTTCTTGCATATGTATACCTTCTTTGGGCTGTTAAGAAAAATAAATAAAATTCCCTGTTTTTATATATATATATATATATATAAGTTTTATATTTCAAAATGGGGTATTTTAGAATATTGTATTGAATGGATATTTTAACAATCGCAAAATTATTTCCTATGAAAATGGCTAAAAATAGCTCTGACCCAGTGTGATCTCTATGACGAACTTAAACAACAACCTATGGCACTTGTGAATTGGAAACTCATTGTATATTACCCAAAATGGTTATTTAAAAAAACAACACTAAAAATAGGTCTGAGGCAGTGAATCTTCTTAAAGTTCATTTACCAGCTTTACTTTACCAGTAATAAGGAACACAGATTCCAATACATAGTAAATAAGACACATTCAGTAAGAATTTTATACATTTCAATAAAAATATTTTACTCAAAGATGATATAGTATATCTTAAAATACAAAAAGCCTGATTCAAACTGGGACTCAGGAAAAGTCCATCATACAAATGTAGCCTGATATGGTATAAAATAAAATGTAATCAGTGAGCCCTAGAAGTTACAAATCTACTTACTATAGACCCTGTAATGTTACAGCCTGTTCCTCTAACAAGCTTACTACAGCCTCATGTACACTCATGCCTTCAACAACAGGTGACGCTAAATGTGTACGGTCACTCCATTTATTTTTATTATTTGTTGGGACAAACTGGTTCATGCAGGCCCAACATTTTCCCACCTTATCTCTACAATAATTACCTGTAAATGTTAAACAAAGTGTCATTAAAAAGATTATTTTCAATTCAATTATTTTTCACAGATAAATTAGTAATGTATTTTTACTACAAAAACAACAGCTTTTGTAAGTCAGTGATGACAGTAAGAAAAGAAGCATAAGTCTATTAAATAGTATCAGGTTTTGGAACCTGCGCCCACCATGTAAGATAATCACAGAGAACAACTGGATGAAGTTTCAACACTATTACTTCAGTAGCTTTAGAGATAATAACCAAATTTTTAAGCAAAAACTTAACCAAAGTGTGAGCACAGTAGATATCAATATTCTCCGAATAGTCAAGCTAAAACTCAATTTTTCTAGGCTTGTTTTCAGGTAACAATTATGCCATATACAATGTATATCTGCTATCAAAACCTTCACAAGTAAATATAAACTTTGCAATTAGTTAATAATTTCGCTCTCTTGTGATAAGTTGATATCTTCATCAATGTGTCAAGTCATGCCTGAAAATATGTGATCCTAGGCAATGAAAGTCAATCCAAATTGACTTAACTACTATGTTAAGATTTTCTTACACTTAACAAGAAGATCTGAGTGTGATCAGCTATGATTCTCCTTCAGATTGATTTGAATTAACCAATCAAATTATCTATTATAAAAACCCATTTGAAAACATCATCTTCAACAAAGTCCAAATGAAAGAGGTTTTTTTTATTACACTTTTTTTGTTTAGATGGAGAAGAACAAGGGATAATCTTGCAATCACAAAAATATTTTACACTGGACCATATTGGCAGGCTCTGAAAACTACTAACCAAGATAAGTTATACATTACCTTTATAATAGTCTCTTCTGACACTATTTTGCACTTGACAAATCTTCGCATTTAACTGTTCTATATTGTTCTCTAATTCTGCTTTCTTGTTTACAGCTTGTCTTAAATTCAACTGGCATTCTGACAGAAAACAGAAATATATCATACATCCAAACTGAATTGTAATGAAAGCTAATTCTTGGGAAATTCAAACATTAGGCTGTATTACCCTAAATTAAAACTTTATCTATTAAAGCTGACTGTAGCTTTCATCTTCCTGAAAGTTAAACCAGTACTTGATCATGGTCTTGAACCAAAGTAGGTCTCAAATCGGTGATCATTGAATTGAGAGGGAGATTATATTCACAAATGGGCAAATACTCTCCTTATCAAGGCTTACTAATAGATTTGTTCCTTCAAACTGGCTAAATTTTTCTGTATCTTTATTTTGGATGAGTTTTACATTGCACAAACAATAAAAGTAAAATGACAACTTTCCAGTTTTACTGGTGGAGGAAAACCTCAGGTTCCCATTCATGCATTATTTCAGGATGGGCAACTGAGTAGAACCACCAACTTTCCATAAGCTAGCTTGATAGCTTCCTTACATGAAAGAATCCAAAGTCGCTGGAGAGATTTCAAAATAAGGCAGTGAGAGGATAGTGGTTTGAGATGTCAACAACAATATCCATTCCAGCTTGTCTGTTTCTGATAATAGGACAGAAAAGTAAGGTTGACTTTACAGACCAGTACAGTTAGTGTTGAAATTTATTTTGGTTTGCTATTTTGTGGGTGTTCAGGGATGTGACGCTTTTCCATATTCCCTCATGAACAGAGTCGATCAAACCAAGCCATTATACTCATTTATTTCATGATAAAAGCAACATGCCCTTGACAGACTTATGTACTATGCATGGCAAAAAAGCCAACTTTATTTGATATCGAAATCAAAATTATAACAATGTATATTATTAGCTATAAAGATTTTTGACACGTTATATGGCCGTATATAAACTGTTGTTTGTAAATAAAACCTGAGCCGCTAGGCGAGAGTTATATTGCAAAGAACCGTTTTATATACGGCCATATAACCTGTCAGAAATATTTATAACGAATTTATAATACAGTAAGCATGATTTTTAGAGGAATAAAGTGAGATTTCTTTATAAATCAACAGAGGCTGTGTATATAAAACTATATGAACGTCACGATTATCCAAAGTGACGTTACAACCGTGCAGTATTATAATATTAAACATACCATGACATATGTAATAATTATCATAATTTAGTAATGTTTCTTCTGTGGCATCCCAATCAGTAACATCTTTTAAGGCTTCAATGATAGTCACATCTGGTTTTAGCATGCCAGGTTCAAATTTTCTCTCCTGCAGTCTGCACGTCAGCTTTGTGGGCCTCAAGTGTTTTGGGGTGCCTGGCCTTAACCTGCAATCTCTGTTACAGGTAAAGCAAAACATCTCTGTAAGAAAACAAATACCAAAAGTTTTTATTTTAATTATTTAATGTGCTGATGTTTCATACAGTTTAATACATTTTCAAATTCATATAACTATATAAGTAAATTACATTTAAATATTCTAAACAAATCCCTCATTTCTATATATATATTTATATATCAAACAATCACAAATCTATGCATATAGTGATGGATTTATGGCCCATATAATTAATATAACACATTATTTCAACAAAGGTCAAAAATATATGTTAGATTCATACCCCCAAGTCAACTAATGCTTCATTTTCCATGCTTACCTGGTACAGGTTTTCTTGCCTTTGTTAGGGCAGCCACAAGCAGGTTAAAATTGCTGTAGGTAAACCTAGCCTTACAGGCACATGTTTATTAAAACCTGTGTTTTACATGCAAATAATTTTTTGGCTAAGTTTGCGGTACCCGTCTTTGTTTTCAATTAATTAACTTTTACTGTTAGTTTTACACAGTAGCTATAATCATTTGTGGAATAAACAATATTAGAATCCTCAAAACTTCACCATATGCTGCTGGAATAAAAATCTAAACACTGATGCAATTATCTTGGTTAAAATAAAGTCATACGCATCTATCCAGACAAATGGTACTGAAGGAAGGACAACTTAGGCATGCAGTGTCTATTCTAGAAATTCAATCAAAGGGCTGCAAGCTCTGTGGTATTTTCTGATCTTTGCAATCTAAATCGTACTATATATCTGTATGTGTTTTCCTGTATAAGTTTATTTTTATGTACTATAATTCATCTTGCAGGGCACCAGAGTTTGATACATACGGAATTTTGCATAACTAGAGTTGCATCAAAAAATCATTTATGTTCATTTTTTATGATAGCCACACTTTATCCTTGCATATCGTGGCTATTTCCTTAACGAAGACACTAAAAAAAGAATTTAAAAAAATGTTGACTCGACTGGGATTTGAACTCCAGACCTCTCACACACTAAACGAGCGCGTTACCCCTGCACCACGGAGAAGTTTTAAAAACAAAGGCTGAATAAAATCAAGTCATTCTAAATTAAAATTTCCATTGCATTTCGGGTAATAGTAATGTCGAGGTATTTTGTTCAGGGTAAACCTGTTGTTTAAAATTGAAGTAAATAATTTAGCAAAAATGTTCTCGCCCAAACAGTACTAGTCCAACATGTAGAAACTATATATTCAACTACTCGGCAGTCAGATTTATTTGTGTAGTATTCGGTAATCGACATCGCTAAAAATAGCATTTTCATTGACTAAAATCATATTCATCCGCGTAATTTGTGAGTGTGCATTTATTGACAATTCTATAAGCCAACGCTACTTTTAAAGTTTGAATGTGTAGTAATTTGTTGTTTGTAACAAAAAATTGTTCTTTCTTTTAAATTGCTGGTTTTTAAACAGTTTTGAGTGAGAACTACTTTGCGTTGTTAGGTCTGTAAGGAAATTGTGTGTTAGACCGTGGATGTTAGCTATGTATTTACTGATCTGCGATCAGAAAATACAAAAATTATAGGGGTAAATTTTCCCCTCATTCAAAAGAACCAGATTAGCGACCAGTGATTTTTTTCCTGTATTTTACAGCTGAATAAAGGCTGTTTCCCCAGCCCAAAATAGGTAATTTTCCCCTGAAAATGTTAATATTTTCCCCTAAAATGCCCTGTGCACATTCTTCACCAGAACCATATCTTAACAGCAGCTTAAGAAGACAAAAAGCTGTCCTTATATATATCCTCTGCTATGTACCATGCATGTAGAATTGAATTGAAATTGAAAATTTTATAAAAAGTGTGGGTAAATTCCATAATTTGATTTCCCCCTTTTCTGATTTATCGCGCTATATTTTCCCCTACAGAAAGCCACAGGTTGTTTTGAAAATTGAAAAAAAAATCACTGGCGACCCACATTTTCAGGTGTATATTAATAGTAATGTTGCAGTCACGGATTGACTTCACTTTCCGTTATTTAGGTGTCCTTTCACTTAAATGAGATCTCTTCCCGCACTCTCGAAATTCCTGAGATTTCTGTTGCATGCTGGGTAAGTGAACTGACAAGAAATGTTTTTTCATTGCTGCAGAATTGAACTATATTTTTTACTTAAATCTGTTGAACTAATGTTAAATAAAGGTGGTAAGATGGTCAAGGGATTTCGAGACATTTCGGCCCAAAGTCATATCGGCCCCAAATTACCCAAGACGTTTCGGCCCCGGACGTTTCGGCCCTTTGCGAAATCGGCCCCATATTTAGTACACGAACACTGAAACAGAATTTTATCTGTTTATCATCAACAAGTATTATTTTTTTTCATTGAACGATTAAAAAGCAAGACACAGAACAATACATGGAACAAGCATTTATTAAATTAATAGTAAGTGACGAGCTTCAGCAATACAACAGATAACAGTTGAAAAATTATACTTGTACTATCATGAAATAAAATAGACATTTTTTTATAAATAACATTTATAATCAGAACGTTTCAACAATAACTCAAAATATTTTCAAGAAATTATAACAAAATTTAATCATAATTTAAAAAAATTCTTTGATATTACTAACCGCTTATATTAGCAATCAGCTATAAATGATTAATGTGTTGCACCTTGAAAAAAAACTATATCTAAATAGTTTGATAGCTGTTAAATGATAAATAAAGATCAAAAGATAATGATTTTTGATGTATAATTGTAATTAACTTTGTTAATCAAAACGTCTTATAAATTAAGGATTAAGTGTCTTTTATTGTTACACATTGAAAAAATAGCATTTATTTCAATAGTTAAATTAAGAGATCGATAAATCTATAAAGGATTATTAATTGAGGATTTTAGTGTCTTAATAATTGTTTGTGTGCCATCAATCAATCAATATACTACAATTTTTAACGATTTTAAGTATAAAAATAACTTTTATACTTAAATAAAACTGTAATGAAAAAGGGCCGAAACGTTTCGCGGAAAAGGGCCGAAACGTTTAGGGGCCGATTTTTGCAAAGGGGCCGATTTGGTTTGGGGCCGAAACGTCCTGTTTGCGGTCTAGGTGTTTGAACCAATACTTAATGAAGACCAGAGTATCACCAGACTGTGCATCCCGCACCCTTGAGTGTAGTCCTATTACATAAGACGTTTCCGTTAGTACTACGTGGAGTGTACGTAGTACTAACGGAAACGTCTTATGTTATGCTTATAGTACCAACTTGAGTGGTGCTTGATTTAGCTGGACTAGCGGAAAATTATCAGCATGCAAAATTTAAAAGTTTAAAGCACATTCAGATATTGTAACTGAGAACGAATTAGTTTTGCCACAAAGTTTTTTAATATAAGTCAATGAATCAAATTAATAATATCACAAACCTGCACTTTTAATCTAGACAAATGGCGACTGTAAATAAAAGGGAAGGAACTTGCATATTGACCACAATCGCATCTTCTCGGCCATTCGATAAGTTATTATTGATTATTACCGAGATGTTCCGATTGGACCGATTCCTACGAAGTGATCTCCCCTTATCAGTACAATATGCAAAGGGAGGTAATCACTGTGAGTATGGAGGGCGTTCGTTGCCAAAATTCCAGACATGTAAAGTGTTCCTTTTTAAAATGACTTTTGAAAATGCGAACTTATATGCCTACCATTTTTATTGTATACCTCTTAATTCAATCTTTTAATTGAAGGTTACCGCCTTTATATAACAAGTTTACATATATATCGTAACAACTGACCTAACATCTAAAACGACAACAAATTTACAAGTTCGTATCTTCCATTGCATGCAATACATATGCATGTTTGCACACTTATAGATCTGAAATATACAAATGAAACGTAAAACTCAAATACGGAAAATAGAGTTTAAGAAAACGTGTTACCAGTTGTAGAACTACAAGAGTACGTTAACACAGTAACATGTTTAAAATGACAAAAGTAGATTCACAAAGTTAAACGATTTTAAAATAGATAAATACAGAATCCCTAAAGAAAGTCCAACACGACAAAATTGAAAATGTTGCAGGCTCAGTTTGATTGAGCCTGTTCATGGACGGTACTGGAAAGTGCAAGTTACCGTCCACGCCCCCTAGCACCGGCTTAAGCAGAATTCAACATTTAAACGTGAAATAGTAAACTTTTGAATTTAGAAACATCCGTAGATGTGTTCATACGGCGGTTATCATGGAACCTTCAATGTGACACTTCCGTGCCATTCCATGAAAAGCGGCGTATGGTCCCCAAGTAATAAAAAGCGTGTGCCCTAAACGAGAAAACAATGGGCAGAACTAAATAAAATGGAATTTTGAAAGGGGATCAGAGGTTATGAAGCCTGCGTATCACAGATAAGACGTCAAAAGACAAATTTAAAAAGCAGGCAACATATCCTTAGGGAGATTCAACATTATTCAAGTAGGAATATTGGAACCACCCAACTAGAAAATGCCGAAAAGTTGAAACTAAAAATACCACAAGCACAACAATAATGTCGTGCTGAACGATCTTCAAGGATCGAAAATATAACATAATTGATTAAATGTACGGGGAGACTTTTTACAGCCGCCACACGGCACAAATAACACGGATGTAATCATAAAATAGATAAATACAGAATCCCTAAAGAATGCCCAACACGACAAAATTGAAAATGTTGCAGGCTCGGTTTGATTGGGCCTGTTCATGGACGATTATGGAAAGTGCAAGTTTCCGCTTCCTAGCACCGGGTAAAACAGAATTTAACATTTAAACAGGAACTTAGTGAACTTTTTAATTTAGAAACATCCGTAGATGTGTTCATACGGCGGTTATCATGGAACCTTCAATGTGACACAATAGTGCAATTCCATGAAACCCCAAGTAAAATAATGCGTGTGCCCTAAACGAGAAAACAATGGGCAGAACTAAATAAAATGGATTTTTGAAAGGGGATTAGAGGTTATGAAGCCTGCATATCACAAACAAGACGTCAAAAGACAAATTTAAAACTCAGGCAACATATCCTATGGATGATTCAACACTATTCAAGTAGGAATACTAGAACAAGCAAAGTTGAAAAAGCTAAATAGAAAAAACTAAAAATACCACATAGCATGTAAACACAACCATAATGTCGTGCTGAACGATCTTCAATGATCGAAAATATAAATTTGATTAAATGTACGGGGAGACTATTTACAGCCACCAGACGGCACAAATAACACGGATGTGATCATAAAATAGATAAAAACAGAATCCCTAAGGAAAGTCTAACACGACAAAATTGAAAATGTTGCAGGTCCGGTTTGACTGAGGCTGTTTGTGGATGGCACTGAAACGTGCATATTACCGTCCACGCCCCACAGCACCGGCCAAAGCAGAAGTCAACATTTAAACACAAAGCAGTAAAATTTGAATTTAGAAACATCCGCAGATGTGTTCATACGGCGGTTATCATGGAACCTTCAATACAACACTGTAGTCTCATTCCATGAAAAGCGGCGTATGGTCCCCAAGTAATAAAAAGCGTGTGCCCTAAACGAGAAAACAATGGGCAGAACTAAATAAAATGGAATTTTGAAAGGGGATCAGAGGTTATGAAGCCTGCGTATCACAGATAAGACGTCAAAAGACAAATTTAAAAAGCAGGCAACATATCCTTAGGGTGATTCAACATTATTCAAGTAGGAATATTGGAACCACCCAACTAGAAAATGCCGAAAAGTTGAAACTAAAAATACCACAAGCACAACAATAAAGTCGTGCTGAACGATCTTCAAGGATCGAAAATATAACATCATTGATTTAATGTACGGGGAGACTTTTTACAGCCGCCACACGGCACAAATAACACGGATGTAATCATAAAATAGATAAATACAGAATCCCTAAAGAAAGTCTAACACGACAAAATTGAAAATGTTGCAGGCTCGGTTTGATTGAGCCTGTTCATGGACGGTACTGGAAAGTGCAAGTTACCGTCCACGCCCCCTAGCACCGGCTTAAGCAGAATTCAACATTTAAACGTGAAATAGTAAACTTTTGAATTTAGAAACATCCGTAGATGTGTTCATACGGCGGTTATCATGGAACCTTCAATGTGACACTTCCGTGCCATTCCATGAAAAGCGGCGTATGGTCCCCAAGAAATAAAAAGCGTGTGCCCTAAACGAGAAAACAATGGGCAGAACTAAATTAAATGGAATTTTGAAAGGGGATCAGAGGTTATGAAGCCTGCGTATCACAGATAAGACGTCAAAAGACAAATTTAAAAAGCAGGCAACATATCCTTAGGGTGATTCAACATTATTCAAGTAGGAATATTGGAACCACCCAACTAGAAAATGCCGAAAAGTTGAAACTAAAAATACCACAAGCACAACAATAATGTCATTAATAAACATCATTGATTAAATTAAGTCAAGCATAACGCCCCGCCCCTCTCGGAGTATTTACGAACTATTGCGGACAGGTATAAAACGGCGCCTCTCCCATATTTTCAAATAAAACTGAAGGACAACATACGGCATTTTTCATAACATAATTATATATGTAACATTTGTTACAAAAGTTTTGTCACTAGCAACATCACTTGAAAATTGCTGATTTTACCATTTATGATGAAGATAACTTATGCATTACCTTATTATTTAACATCGTGTTCTTATCAGTTACAAATTATTTATCATTTTAGTGATTAGCCTGTCCGTGCTCTGCCTAATGCCCTGTCCTGTGTTTTGTTTTGAGTCCGCCTGGGCTTCTTGCCACTTGTTCTTGTTGCTGGGTCATGTGGGATTGCGTTCATTGAACGCCGCCTTTCCTTGTTGATCTTGTTTATCATATATTCCCGAGAAACATCGGCGATTTGGAAATTTTTAGGGGGAACAATGAACAACTTCAAGGGAGTAATTTTATTGATAATGTAAAAAACCATCCAATTTTCTTATTGGTATCATTGAAAAATGTATTGGCACAAATTTCATTTTCAACAAAAACTATGCAATTTTATTTTAAAGCGGCCACCGAGATTTCCTTTCCGAAATCAAGAAAATACTTATCCGTAGCACATATGTCAAATCTTTAATAAGGTATTTTCAGTATGAATAAAAACTTTTTGCACTTGTTCATTATCCCTCATGTACAGACTCAATCAAACCGAGTCTGCAATTCTTATGTAATTTTGTAGTGATTAATGCTTCCGAGGGATCACTTTGTTTCCAGATTTTTATACTTCACAACAGCAGGTGTCAATTGCCGTGTGGCAGCTGTAAAAAGTTGCCCCGTACTTCACTTCAGTGTTGTTATATTTTTCTGGTCTTTCGGGATCATTGATGCCAGCGCTATTAAGTGTTGAGAATTGAGTACCGTTCAAGCCGGTGCTAGGGGGCGTGAGGCATGTTGCACTTGTTCATTATCCCTCATGTGCAGACTCAATCAAACCGAATCTGCAATTCTTATGTAATTTTGTTGTGATTAATGCTTCCCAGGGATCACTTTGTTTCCAGATTTTTAGTATACTTGTTCAAAACTTATTGTCTTAACTTCATTCAATATTCATTTTCCTTTTTGGATAAAGTATCTAAAGGAAGCGACGTTATTTTTTCCGAATATATGAGTGTGGATTTAAGAGAAAAAAATAAACAACGATAAGTTAGAAACAAAATTTTTAATACTTCTACGTAATTAATTTTCATTTTTAAGGCATCACTAGAAAGGTCATTAAGGATTCTTAAGCACTATTAAGTGTTAAGAATTGAGAACCGCTCAATCCGGTGCTAGGGGCCGTGAGGGATGTTGCACTTATTCATTATCTCTCATGTACAGACTCAATCAAACCGAGTCTGCAATTCTTATGTAATTTTGTTGTGATTAATGCTTCCGACGGATCACTTTGTTTTCAGAATCTTTTACTTGAGTCTAAAATTATCAACGCCGCATTTCCTTGATGATCTTGTTTATCATATTCTTAAATTATCAAAATTGACCAAGAAATAAAAAAAGTAAGTAGGGGGCGCCATGTTTCTCTTACTGAATTTCAGAGTTTTTTTTTTTTACTTCATATAACGTTTTTCATGGTATGGCACTTACGTGTCACATTGAAGGTTCCATGATAATCGCCATATTAACACATCTGCGGATGTTTCAAAATTCAAAATTGTACCAGTTCATGTTGAATTTTGCTTAAGCCGGTGCTAGGGGGGCGTGGACGATAACTTGCTCTTTCCATTACCGTCCATGAGCAGGCTCAATCAAACCGGGCCTGCAACATTCTCACTTTTGTCGTTTTGAGCGTTCTTTAGGGATTCTTATTTTCTCTTTTTTACAGAAAGTAACATGATAAACTTTTTAACGAAAAGTTAATTCATTTTGATTTAATTCATTTTTATTTTGAGGCATTATATAATTATATATCATAAATCGTATTATGCACACTTTTATTTCAATCCAAAATTATCAAAATATATTACGAAATAAAAAAAAAGTTTGGAGGGAACGCCGTGTTTTTCTTACAAAT